AGTATAACATTTATTTTATTTGAACTATTAGAGGCAAAAATTGTAATCTACTAACAATTAGTTTCCGTAGACATAGATATTAGAGTTGTATTTAAATGTCTTAAATATGAATTATTTTCAAGAACATCTTTATTAAAAAAAGCATTTATTTGCGGGAATAATTTTTTTTTTTTAATATAATTTTTAAACTTGTACATATTTAAACATTATCAATAAACATAATAGTAATAATAATTGAAAATATTAACATAGATAATGCATAATATGTATATAAAAAGATGTCGATGAGACACCTACAAATCAGGATTTCATCAATAGATTATGGAACTGCAAATCCTATAATACGAGTATAATAGATTCTGTCTTAGAAATGATATTCTTAGAATAGCTGTGCTGCAATTACTGTGGACCCCTTACGATAGTTTATTTTTATAACGAATCGCCCATTTTAAAAACCAATGACGTATTTAAAGTTGGATAATATTATACAAGATAATAAATGTCACTACAATACCTACATTTTTTTCACATTTCAAATCAAATTATTTTTAACATATTACTTACAATTTAAATAAAAAAAAAAAAAATCAGTACTTTTTTAAATATAATGATAAAGGTCTTGTCATATTTTGTTAGTAATTATATATGAATAGAAACAGACCACAAATTAATAATTGAAAGCTAAGCTAAAACAAAATCAAAATAATAATTATTCGCAAATAAATAATAATAACAAAATATGTTTGTATCATATTATGGAATGTACAAATATTAACATTTGTAATATAATATATATTCAATTGCGTATTTACGGGTGGTCCAGAGGGTACTAGACCCGCTCCAGAGCAAAAGAAACAGATACATGTTCCTGCAACATAGTTAAGTAATAATAGTATAGAAATTAGACATTTATAATAATGTTATTTTGACGACGGTTCCCAAGTTGCGGCTAAATTTTAATTGTGATAAAGGCAATAAGTATTAGGAGGTACCTTTGTGGTAAAGACTTTATTGCACAGAAAAACGCTTATAAACTATCACAGTTTATATAAATAATTACATATGAACTGTGGACCCCAAGAAAAATTTGAAAATACGCCACTGTAGCCTGTAGGTATTAATACATATATTAGAATAATTATGTTATTATGCAATAATATACATACATGCATCATGCACAGAACACGTATCTAAAATAGAACAACTAGTCGCTAGATTTCGTACAAAGAAGTACTAACTAAGATTATTATAGTCGTCCATTATAGACTCAAATCGGGATAATTTCACAAGTCCTCTCGCTAATATTTCAATAATTATTCATGAACAGTAAATTATTCATTTCGCCGTCGCAGTGGCTACGATATTTCGCAAAGTTATGACAAAATTTAATAATATTGGCTAGGTGTGTTAACAATACGCAACCACCGGAAAATGAAAGCGCGCCAAACGTGCCAGGATTGTACGGGCCGCGACATACTATTATAATAACGAGGTCGGTGAACCAGATTATAGCTGGGAATCGTAATTGAACTTGAGAAGTTAAAACTGTTTTCAAATCACATTATTATACACCAACAAACAAAAATAACAAATTTGAATCATACTCACACACGAGTCGTGTAAAAATCGGTCAATTTAATAAATTTATCAAATAAAATAAACAAGTAATAGATACTGGCAGACGTAACTGATCCGGTATTCGATCATTTCGATCAACGAGCAATAATTAATAAAATCGAAAACCGAATTGATTGTAAGCGGATACTTAATTTTAATTTTTAAATAAAAACAATCAAATAATTATAGCATACAAACAATTTTTTACAATAGCCAATAGGTATTTAATAAATGTATAGTTAAAAACAATTTTAATCTCTCGACGTGACAACATAATATTACCATTTACCTACTTACATCCGGCTAGGTACTATCAGAATACGCGGAACCTTTGCCAACGACCATACCACGTTGAATACACCAGTTCTCGTCCGATCACTGAAGTTAAGCAACGTCGGGCGTAGTTAGTACTTGGATGGGTGACCGCTTGGGAACACTGCGTGCCGTTGGCTTTTTTTTTTAAATTTACTTAATATTTTTATTTCTATAGACTATAATAACCTAATGGCTAATAACTACAATTTATGAAAATATTGTGTTAAATTGTCAAGCCTAAAGAGTTAAAATTAAAATTTTGTGTTTCTTTTGGCGTCACAGCTAAGTGATCAGTCGAAACCTATTACCTACGAAATAAACAGCAGAGCGACTTGCCGACTTTGTCATTTATCTGTTATCTATACATTATTTAAGGTCAACACCCGTTGACATTTATACATTACAGCATCAGGTAAATACATAGTCTGGCTAATAATAGTAGATGCCATGATTTATGAAAATATAGTTTAAGCAATATGTCCACTGTAGGTAGTATTGATGTAGACATTATTATTACTATTAATATTTATTTACATAATATATAAATATAGGTATACACAGAGATGATTGGATAAGTTATAACAATTTGTTAATTTTAATTATTTATAAAAGTTAAATGCGGTATACCTATTGATATATCGTAATAGCTCAGTATCATGTGCTTAATTAATAAAAAAAACTATATGAAACAATGTGTAATTTCATAAGCTATAAAAATATGTTTGATGCACCTATGGTTATTGCTCAAAATATTAGATATTTCTATTAAAATCAAAGACATGTAAGTACCATCAATTTATGTATTACCTACACGAATTAAAATATGAGATGAATGAGATCGGAGCGCAATCTCTAGCCGATCGTACGACTCTTTTCGTGATGTTTTCAGTAAACAGTAAACACTTAGCCAAGTTTAGAAGACGCTACACGCCTACACCCTAAAATTGTATTCCGGTCTTACAAACATCAACACGGATAAATTGCGTCCGATAGAACTGATTTTGTGTTGTAAAGTTTTAACATTAAAACGAAATTATTTATTAACATTTTAACATAACACCGAAAAAAGACAACGCACAGATTATGTTCGTATTTATCTTTAACTTTGATAATATAAATCAATTCATTCCGATATTAAAATTAATAACACGAAATCGAATCTACTGAACTCATATATTTTGTTATATTGTTTTTACATAATATCAGAGACAAATAAGACTTTTTGCTATGTTTGGTCTAATATCAAAGGTCCGTCGCCAACGACCATACCACGTTGAATACACCAGTTCTCGTCCGATCACTGAAGTTAAGCAACGTCGGGCGTAGTTAGTACTTGGATGGGTGACCGCTTGGGAACACTACGTGCCGTTGGCATTTTTTTATTTTTTTTTATCCAATGTATTTTAATTTTTATAAAGCTTTAATTTAAATTTTATACTTGTATTATATTTGATTGCGTTTGTTAAATACCCTGAGGCCTGGGTTTCAAATTAGCTCAATTTCTCCAAGCAACATTTTATTATTAGCATTATTTTACAAATCGCTAATAAACTATTGAGGTTTGAAATTATTTTATTAATTAAGTCGCTTAAAAAAATATATATTTATATAACAAATCTTAAAAATCTGATTATCAAATCAAAAACTTAATATTGAAATTGAATAAATTATTTTTATAACTATTAACATTTTTTTCATTCGCATTATTAATTATTTTTTAACCTCCTGTATTCAAAAATATAAACAAGCATTTATTATATAAATATATTTGTATATAATAAATGTTATAATAACTTTTATAGTATAATATGTTGAATGTGGGCGATACTTCCTAAGGGGCCATGGAACAAATTATTTGAGCATTCTTCAACTTTACACATATAAAGTGTGCCTATAAGACCAATAAGTACTAGATATCTATATATTATACACAGAGAGTAACATTTGGTCTCATCGAATTTTTCGAAATTAAGAATTCGGACACAGACAGTGATATTATGTAGTTTGTAAAATATAGATCGAATGTATAGTTAGTTATACATACAATATTATGTTTTATTTTATTGATAATATATTTATAACGAATAATGTGCTGCAGAAAAAATAAAAATAATAATGTAATGATTTATGAAACTGTAGAAAATGAATGTTTTTATTATAAACTTTGCGATAAAGATACAATCTTAGAATTCAACAATAACAAATTGAAGTTATTCAATAAGTTAATTTTGCCTTTTTTTAAATTTTTGAAATTAATTTTAGAAATTATTTTTTCTACAAAAAAAAAAAAAAACAAAACAAAAGTTGTGGGTATCTTCAACGGCAATAAATAAATAAATAAATACAAATATAAAAACAATACAACAACTAATGAAGTAATAACTAGTGATTTCGAATTATAATCATCTGTGTTATCAGATATCATTTAAAGACTAAAATATAAAAGTATCTAAATAATTCAAGTCTGGATTTTATTACATAAGCCTTTATAATTTATGTCCACAAGTCGTTAATTATAATAAAATAATAATTATTTTTATTTTATCGCTCAAATATCATGAGTAGATTGATATTTATTTAATATTTATTTATTTATATTTATTCGGTATTAATAGCTGGTACCTATAATTGTATTAATGCTAATCTAACACATTGAAAACACCATAGCCCAATTAACCGATAAAAATGACTATATATTAAAATTTATAATATCTTCAAAGTAAAATTATAAATTTTATTGCTACGATATGACATTTTGATCTATTTCACTATATCCAAAAAAGTAGGTACCCCGAGTTAAGTTAAACAGAAATTAAAAGCCAAAAGAACGTCGTAATAAGAACAATAAAGAAAAATACATACAGGTAAACATATACCTAGCCGTGATAGAATGACAAATTTAACATCGTCATTTGTACTGTAAAATTTAATGTATTATAATTTTAATTATATATAGTATTTATATTTCTTCACTTTTTAACGACTTGTGAACCACTTTGTAATTTTGATAATTATTTTTCTCTGAAACGAGAATGGTAATAATGATGTTTTCATGCTGCAATAATGTTCTAGAGCTTCGAATGGCAGTTGCAACCACACGTTGGCTTATTAACTATAAAATCAGGACGGGTAGCAGGAGAGGTTGAGGTTGATCGATTGGCTGGTGAACAACTAGAGATCGGCCGATTGGTAGGCAAATCGATGGAGGATGGCCGATTTACCGGTGACGGTGTGCAGGTGGAGGTAGGTTGATTAGTTTGCGGTCCGATGGAGGTCAACCGATTAATTGGCGGATCGTTGGATGAAGTTGATCGATTTGCCGATGGAAAGTTGGACGTTAGTCGATTGGTTTGCGAACAGGTGGAGGTCGACTGACCTGGCGATGGACAAGTGGAGGTTGACCGATCAGTTGATAGACCGGTAGAAGTTTGCAAGTTGGCCGGTGGACAGTTGGACGTTGGTCGATTGGTTTGTGGACAGGTGGAAGTTGACTGATTTGACGGTGAGCAGACAGAAGTTTGCCGATTGGCCGGTGGGTAATTTGACGTTGGTCGATTAGTTTGCGGACAGGTGGAGGTGGATTGATTTGGCAGTGGGCAGACGGAGGTTGGCCGATTAACCGGTGAACTGGTGGTGGTCTGACATACTTGCTTTTTTTCCACCGAAACGGCCACGTCTTTAACTTCCGGATCGGTCTGCTGACTCGAATCTCGCTTACTGCACACTCCGCTGGTTACGACCGTTCCGAAGTTGATGATGATCTGCGACGATTGTATATCTTCCGGTACAGAATTTCCTTTCCGTTCATCGGAAGTAGGTTTCATTGAACACTGCTCATTCCGGGGATGTTGCTGACGCATATCGTTCACTTTGATCCAGTCTAGGATCGGTTGCGATTTCAAGAAATCACCTAAGCTTATTTGGGGGCGTCCGCTACAGTCATTTTTTCGTGGTTTTGATGTCACCGTTGCAACGACCGGTTTTTCCTCGCGTTTTTCTATCAGCTTACAACAACACCTGACAGACATGCACGGCTGCTCATTTATATAATTTTGGCCCATCGTTTTGATCGTTTGGGGCTTAAGTGTTATGTGATTAAATTTCTTTCGATTATTTAGGTAATGTCACCTTGGTAATTTACTTATTTTTTTAAATATCACATATATTCCTAGAAACAAACTATTGTATTTATATTTTTTTTTACAGTTATAACAACTCAACGTTACTAAGAGAATTTCATAACGCAAATAATAGTAATATGACATTATAATTTTTCCTCCATCTCAAACCCAAAATCAAAAAACGTGCAAAATAGTTTTCATTACTTACGTTTATAATCTGCTAAATAAGTAATAATAGTATAATACTATATAATACTATATTACCTATAGGCTATATAGTATTTATAACCAATGCTAATACCTATACATTATAAATGATGACATTTATTTTCTCGGTAAAAAATCTTCAAAATGTATTCCTCATTACTCATCAATTCAACAATTTTTTATAAGTATTTTAAAATCAAATTACGTAATGACATTATATTTAAATTAAATACTTGGAAATGTGATGGGAAGGTATAAAATTCCTCATAAGCTTTTCTAACTTAAATAAATAAAGTTTACCGTAAAATTACATTTTTTATGAGTATTAATCGTTAGGTTATTATAATTTTATGATAATAGATATTCACTTGTAAAATAACTTTATCTTCAATTGATTTTGATAGTTTATTATGATTCATAAATAAATAACCGTGGATACTTAAAATGTTTATCAAATATTTAAATAAGTATTTTCTACAGCTCATAATTTTTTTTTTAATATTTTGACTTTTTTGGAGCTATTTATAGATATTTTGTGTTTAAAATAATTATTCTCTATAAATGTCAGTGAAAAATTTTCCCTTGGTATGGAATTTTGTAATTAAAATTTATAAAATATTTTATTTTTATAGCTAAGGATTAAAAATTGAATACAATGCATCTCAAAGTTGTTCATACTGTGACCAGAAAATCTTAAAAATATAAATTCGAATTTTATTTTTTTTAAAATATTCTAAATTAAAATTGGACAAAATTACATATTTAAACGAATGAAATTAACGGTTTTAGTTATTTTGCTGTAATTTAAAAATATTATTTGTAGATACTTGAATCGTAGGTACTGTGTTATTTTATTTTTTACATTCAATAGCATTTGCAAATACAACATTTTTATTAAAAACTATTTCAATCTATTGTAGTATTAATTATTATTTACTATGATAAAATAAAATACTTTAATAGTAATATAAATATATCATAAAATATTGACTGTCATATTGGTCTTCGCTCAAAATTATTTTCCTTACATGCAATTATTATTTATTTATCAATGAATTCAAATTCAACGAATCATTACAGTGATTTACTAAATGACAAGGTACTCGACATACACTAAGCAAAGTATCTACAAGGTTTTAATTTCCTCCTTTTTCATTTTGTATTTAACAGTATAGATAATAATAAATAATATAGGCATAGGTATTTACTATAAGTCTATTACTATTTTTGCAGTTAAATTTTGTAACAATTACACATAAGTTATAATAGTTACATGTGCATTCAATAGAAGTTATTTCCTATTGTCTATTTAGTATTTAATACATGCATTACAGAAAAGATAGGTATGTTGTTTAATATATATGCGAACCAGTCACCTGGATAACGATATTATGTAATACTATACTAAATAATAGAACATTTTTGACAGTATACGAGTATTATCTTTAAGGCTATTATAAAGGATTTATTTAGTTTAATATATCTAGTAATATAAAATTTAGGAATACTAGGATTGTGGAAGAAGGGCAGTTATCCTTGGTTGCCGATTTGCACTCCCCGACTGTCACTACTCTCTATTATCTTACCCTTTTATACCTACATAGAAATGCCCATGGTTATAATAATGATATTAACTTGTCCTATTGTATTGTTGTGTAGATACCTATACATAAAATAAATAAGGTAATATGTATATTATATTATTATAATATTAATAAACACAACTACATATTTATATCTATTTCTTATACTTAAATCAAAAAAAATAATTGAAAATTATATAATACGAGTGCACAGCATGAAAACATCAGGAGCCCCTCCCAATAAATTAAACATCATGACAACTGCACTGGTTCTAGGTGTGGTAACATCGCATAGCGGTTGTAAGTTATAACATATTCTAGGTATTTCGCGAACGGTGAATACCTACCTATACTAATACTTATAAATATAAATATATGAAACAATAAAATGAATTGTAATCTGATATTCTTAGACTATATAGTAATATGTAAACAAGTTTATCGTACTGTGGTTCAATTATAGGTGTTCACTGCATGTCTGCATTATAATAGCAGCTAACGTTTTTTTTTTCAAATAATATTGCGTATTACCCCGAGGTTGGCTGCTGGCCTATCCAATAAATTCTTTAGTACCTACTAATTATCCGATAAATTCATAATAATTTTAAATTGTAGTTATTTTAAAGATTTATGTGCGTATTATTTATTTATTTATATATTAAACGGGTTTTTAAAACCCTTTATCAAAATAAAAAATAATTGTACATAGGTAATAATATATTTTCTGCTTAACTTTATTATGATATAATTTAAAAGGTTTATAAATATATGAATAAAAAAAAAATTTAAAAAAAAGTATGCATTAGTAAGTATGACAATTATAATAGTGGAAAAGCATAATAAATTAATAAAGTAAGAATTATTAAATATAACAATAAAAGTATGAGTAATAATCAAGAAAATGACTAAAAATTTCATAACATTTAATAATTAAACAAGTAAATTCGAAGCCATATAAATATTCTGTCTAAATGCGTTACGCAACGTAGAAAAAAATCAAGATGATCCGTCTACAGTTCGCCAATGACAGACTTCTGGGGGAAAATAAGGTGGAAGTATAATTGTTTTTACAAAGAGATACATAAAATAAGTTGGATTTTCTAAATCGGTGAGTTAGCATATTAAAACCAATCAGAGATAATAATTCTGGAGAACGAATAAGATAATTTAATAAGTCATAGGTGAACATATATCGCAAAATTTTTCCTAAAGCCATAAGACGTAATCCCCAATTGAATAATCTGCAGATTTATCCATGTAGGTAAAGCTGGTGAAAGATCTATAGATTTTATACATAAAAATATAATTTATACAGTTTAATATAGTTTAACATTTTAAATTTATAACTGTACCTATATAAATAATTATTTATTATTAAACATAAAATATGTTCATCATATCACAATTTAAACAAAATTAGTTTCATCACTTTCATTAGAAATAATACAGCACAACAGACTATAGACTATACTCAATACTGCTATACCTATAATATCTACTGGTCTACCAATTTAAATATTGTAAGTAACTACGTAGGTACCTAATATAATTTAATTATGCATATACCCGTGTAATTATATTAGTTGTAAGTGTTATAAGAGCTGGCAAGTGAAAAACTAAATCATAACATAAGTATACTATTTAAACTATATTATATCATACATATACCTATGTCGTATTGGGGTATTCGATATATAGCCATATTAATTGTGGTATAATTTTAAAATACAAATTTATATCGACACTTGTCACGGACTAAGATAGAGTTCCATCTATTCCATCTTGGATCAAGATTCTTGGTACCTACATGATACTTACTTATGTATATCAAATATAAATTAACAATAATCATTAAATTAAATTTTAAAAATTAATTATATGATAAAAGTAATTAGGTATCTATTAAATTATTTAATAAAGTACATCCGTCAGATCTCTCTGTTACACTCTATATATCTAGATATAATTTTGGTATTTTAAAGTACCATCTTGATAACTTGATGCAGGTAGTTGATAGTATAAAAAAAAAAAAGTGCAATTATTATTAGATTATATTATATATATATATTATTATTAGACTACCTACTAATTTAAGTACTAATTCCAAAAATGTAATTTCATAGCAGCTTTTATAAGTATTTGTTTTGATATATTATCGTTTATCATATAGGTTTAAGTAGGTAGGTAAGGTCAAAATAATAATCGTCAGCTTTTGTGCTCGGATACGATTTAAAGCTTCGTAAAACAAAAAAGGGTTGATTATGTTTCTGTTAACTTATCAACCGATGCCGAGCAGTTAAAATATTATTTCAGTCCACTAAAGCTTTTGATGGGCAATTGAGTTTAAGTTTATTTATTTTCAACTATTAATCTTTTGACGTTATAAATTTGATAATTTGTGTTCTTGTGTTTACTCTTATGCAGAATTATTTTGTTTTATAAAACTATAAATTTAAATTAAAATTAGGTATTATTTTGTATTTTATTTGTTCAATGTCGTCTGTCGTGGATGTTTTAGACTATATTAATATTATTTAGAAGATAAAAATCGTGAAAAAAAATAGCAAAATGTAGACATGTAGTAAATAACATATCAACGTATAATCATTGATTATAGAATATACTATAATATTAGTATATTAATTAATATACTTATTAATTTATTAGTATATTCTATAATCAATGGTATAACATACCTAGTACCTACTACCTATTTTTGAAAAACACAATAATACATATTGTGTACTTCATAATTATTAATCAGTAATCACAAATCAATAGGTACTCATAGGTATTGAGTACCTATAATACACTTCTATGTACTGACATAGAATATTAATGTTTGGTATAAATTTTAAATTATTAGGTATAATAATACTAGATAATATGTTGCAAACTTACAACCTACAGGCTACGAGTCACCTACGTCCTTATAAAATAAGATATTATATTATGTATTAACGCGGCCTATGCGTTGTATCGTAAGGCAGTCGACCGATAAAACGGGTATAAGAAAAAGAGAAGGATAAAAACCGCATACCGTCGGCGCGGTAAAAAACGTGAAAATCGTACAAAGCTGGTAAGTAATAGGTAGGTGGTATCAGATACCTATTACATCCGCAAAGACAACCGACAACGCGTGCGCAGTGGACAGTCTTTTAGAATGCAATGAATGCATCGTACGCGCGTCCTGTCACTATTTCCTCCGTCGCGTCAGCTGTTGCAGCAATAATTGCACTCTGCGCTGACGATAAATCGAATACGTTCCCTTATCACTAGCTAAAAAATTTATCTTTACGATCGTGAAAACAACAATACTCGATAATATTAAACGGATGTAATAAAGTTGGTGTATCCGTAAAACAATTGTAATTATTATTATATCATTATAACGGCGAACGGACGGTTTGCCAAGAACAAATATATAAACAAGTAATTTAATAATAATATTAATAATAATAATAACAACGTCGTATTCTTATCGTTTTCACGTTCGTGTGCGTGTGCCCCCTTCCGCCCTACCGTCCTCGAAAAAACCGTCGACTGTTCGTAGTTCGCACGATAATAATAATACTATCGTTGTCGTCATTGTTGAATCACTCTCGTCGCTTTCGGCGACTTTTGTCCGCGTCGTCCGGCAGATGTGTTGGTACCTATTTACGTTTTTTTAGTACGCGCCGGCCAGAAGGACGTTTGTCGTCGATGTCCGAACGCGGAAGCCGTATTCTTTCGCGTCTCGTAGATAGCAGACAAAGCTCGTTGTCGTCAACCGTTCGCCCGTTAGGTATCTTATAAATGATTAAATAATTTATGTAGTAGGTATCATGACTTGTGAGCCACCACTTGGCGACCATCGTCACCGACGGATATACGGTTGGCCGTCGGTATTCGTCACAGCACTGGGCACATTAAATATATCACACGTCGCATGAATATCGCTTTTTGTTGTTGTTATTGCTATATTATTATTATATAATTGCAAGTCTTATATTTGGACGTAAACACTCTCAACTCGCTGTAAGTACACCTACCTACAAGCTTAATATTTTTATTTTTGTATCAGTACCGTAACTGGTCTCCACAATAATATTGCTGCTTCATATCCAACTAATACCAGCACAGAGCAATTTATGTTACTTAACCTATATCAATACATACTTGTGCATTTTTATTTTATACAACTTGTGAAATTTTGTTTGGTATTTTTTTGAAAGTGTCCAACAAATTAAGGTTGTGCAATTAAATACCAATCCCATTGATACTTAACAAAAATTGATCTTTACATTTATCCAATTCATTTTATCTAACTGCTTGGCATAACCATAACTAAGATTTTGTTGTAACTGGATATAATCCTGATAAATCAAAGTTAAAAATAAGATCTGGAGTCAAAGCTTCTCATATCTACCTTTCCCACATGACTTAACAATAAAATTCTTACATATAGGTACAATATTAACAACAGCATTTTATGTTTTAGCTTGTAACTAACGAATAAAATATAATTCAATTATTATATCAATGTGTAGCCCAACATTCAACCATATAAATACATATACATTTTCAAAGAAAATAATTAGTCATTTTTTGGGTTATCTCTAGCAATATTTTGCCAAAATAAAAAAAATGATAACTGTGTCACTATATTTTTGCTTTTTCAAATTAATGATATATGATGCATCAAAAATTTGAATCACCACAAGCATAAAATATTACGCAATTTATATTGAATATTTATCTCGTAAGATATTAAACCTAATTATAGTTTATATTTTATAATAGTTATAGTTGATTTGTATAACTAGACATAATAGCCTAATTCATAATTCTAATTTTATAAATATTAGGTTTATTTTTTTTAAATATTAAGTCTCACAAGTGTTTAATACTAATAATTAAACCAGAGAAAAATATATATTTATGATTTTTGTAAGAATTTGATAAAGAAAAATCTTTAGGGAGCCTAAATTAGCCCTCCTCCACTTCACAAGTATCTTCTAATTATTATGAGAATGTAATAATATGTAAATAATTAAAATTAATTTCAAGGCCACCTTTTTTAAATACGATCCATAAGCGCTTATTACTTTTTGCTTATATATATTTTGTTTTGATTAAACTAAAATGTTACTAACTATGCTGGGCTTGCATGTAATTGTATTTAATTGGTAAAAAAATCACTACCCTATTTGATAAACATGAAATTAAATACTATTCTCAACTATATTTTTGAAATAATTACTAAACAGTATATCAAATAAATCCTTTTTAAGTATTGGTATGATGAGTGTTTTTCATTGAATCTCAATTATGAGCATTAAAGTTTTATATAAAACTTCACTATTTAGTATGTAAAATGTTTAATTGTTACACCATTGAATTGTGCAAACTGTGTTTTAAAATACATAGCTTTACAAATATGTTTTGAAATATATTTTATTAATTAGGTATTTTATTTTATTTTTGTTCTTACCAATTCATTAATTTTAAATATTAGCTTGTAATATGTAATGAATTTATTTTATGAAAAATCTTAAAATTTACTTTATAAGATCGGTCTACATTTCTAAATACTTATCTGATTTTTAGTTTCTTTTTGTTTAAAAAAAAAAAATGTGTAAGTAAAATATTGCTAATGAAACAATTAAATTGTTAAATATTTGAACTATAAAACAATTTATCAATATTATATATATCATATATAATATATTATAATTATACAGATAAATTTAAAGGATTGCAAATGGTAATTTTCTGTCGATGTCTAATATACACACAACATAGGAATTTACCTATTCTATTTTCATCATATCGATTGATTTAGTGAAGGAATAAAAATTTTAATTTATCGTCAAATCTACTTGAGATCGACTTTATTATGTTTAAGATTTGTTGATTTAAACTTCTTTTAAAATTTAAGTTTAACAATTTTTAAATTTCTACTTTTTGAGTGAAATTTTATTATGATTTAGAAGGATAAAATCAAAAATATGGAAAAATTAATTTAAAGCTAATTTAAAAAAATTAAAATTTATTTCTAAAATTCTTTATTAGAATGCGATAAAAAAAGAACACGAGTGTTAAACTTAGACCTTAAAGTACATTTAAGATATACTTTAGAAATACTTATTTATAACATATTGATTATAAATTGAAAATATAAGTACTAAATAAATTTAAGAAAATTAATATGCTTAAAAAAACTTTAGTGTAGGTACCTAATAATATATTGTGACATTATGTTCCTTTTCACAAAGTTTTGATCTTTGAAAAATCTATTCATTGGTATTTTTATAATTTGTTTTCAATTTTATATTATTAAATTCATTAAACTGAAATAAATAGCCATATCCATAAATACGAGTATTTAACATCATAAAAAAAAAAACAGCTGAAATTGATTTCAATGTAGTATTCTTTATCTTTATTATTGATAAATTTTAAAATAATCATTCATTTATTCAGTAAATATTTATGATAACTAACATAATTAAGTTAAATTAAATATTAAATTTTTAAAGTAAAATAAATCTGGTGAGTTAAGCCTAATTGATTCTATCACTAAATAAAAATTGTTAATATGTGTTAAAATAATATTTTATATATTTTATTTAAATCTCCGAAATTTAACCATCTGTGCTTAGTAAATTATGTCATAATATAATAATTTTTTTCAATGTAGTAATTTATACTAAATAAATAGCAGTTATTCAGTTGCTATCTACACATTTTTTTTAATGAAAAATATAATAATAGAATATCATAAAGTAAACTTAGACTTTTACTAATTATTTCTTGTGTTGAAATATTGTATCTTAGACTTATAATAAGTACTTATTTTAGTTTTTAACTTAACCTTTTGTATCAAAAATAGCTTTTAAAAATCCAAATATCAATAATAAGTTAATGCTTTTTATTAATGTTTATTTTAATATTTTTATCTATTAAAATGTTTTATAATAATAATATATTTAAAATGATTGAATATCACTAGTTTCTGGCTAATTAAAAAAAAACCACATTTTTTTCCACTTCTTATAAGTAACTTATAGCCTATAGGTTTTCACATTTTAGTATTTCATTTACATTGGTATTTAATAACTAATAATACTGATAACAATTTATTTTATGTTTATTAAAATACTATAAAAATGATACTTTTCAATATATGTAGGTAAACTGAAAGTTTAATTTATATATAAACATTAAGCAGTATAAATAAATATACCTAAAATATTAAATAGAAATAATTAAATTTTGGATATTTATGTAATTTACATGATTTTATGTTTGTAGTCATTCAGACAAATTATAATTAATATATAAAATATAGCATAATATTTAAAAAATATATATTCCTAAGTTTAATATTATATAATTTAATATAAACATTCAGTCAGAAGTCAGTGCCGGTGAGTTATAAAATTTATAATTATAAATTACTGATACATTTTATTAGTACGGTATTATATATATATATATATATGTGTGTGTGTATTTATTTATTTGTATAGCACCAATTAATACAAATAACATTAAATTAATTATAGCCTTTTAAGATATACAGACTTGTTTATTTATATTTTACTAGACAATCATTTATAAAGTCATCTGAAAAACATTCTGGTAATTTATTAATTTAATGATTAATACTTAAAATATTATGATACAATTATTCCTTATTATTACAATATGTATGCTAATATATTATGTGTCCATTAAAAAAAAGTATACAGTATTAGGCATTAGAAATATTAAATCATAATATTAAACATAAATATTAATTCCTAAAATGTAAAATCCTATAATTGATTAGTGTCAGTAAAAAAAAATGAATACTGTTTTTTTTAATATGTCAGAAACAGGTGACACTTGAATTATTTGTTATCTTAAATTTATTAATTATATTTTTTTTGCAAATAAAATCTTTTAATAATAATTTTTATATTGTTTATATGTATTTCAAAGTTGTTACATTTTATTTTTGATCTAGACATGAATGGATTGGAAGCAAATCATTCAAAAACATAGTCGTAAGATCTTGAATAGAATAAGTATGGACTTGATCTTAGAAGCGTATTTGACACACGAATCAAGCCTCATGGATTTAGAAGATATACCTCAGACAGTTGATTCTGTATGGATATTGGGAAAAAAATATAGTACAGTTATTGGTAAATAAAAATTATAGTTAATTTATTATATTTTTTCTGGAGAATTATATCATTATGTTTTTAATGGTATAATTACTTGTTAAAAAGAAGTTACCTAATTAATACTAAAAATATTTTTGTTATTAATACTGTTTTCATAAATTAAAATTATTTTGTAAAATTAAATTTTAATTAAAAACCATGAAACATTACAAATTAAGTTTTTAAATAGAAACTTCATAAAATTTAAAATTTTTTTTGGTTTCTTCTACATTCAATTTGTTATAACTTAACATGTATATTAATATGTATAATATACATTCTAGAGATCAATAACATTAAGGGTAACTTAGAAAATCTAAGTATTGGATTATTACTACAGTTCAATTCATTTATAGTTAATATTTGAGCAAATTTAAATATTATAAACTATACTTTTTATTATATTAAAATAAATTATTTCAAAACATTTTGTACATTTATGTTTTTTATATACATGAACTTAAGTTAAATATTTCTATTAATTATTAGATTTCATTTGACTAGTATTTAATATTATTGTTACTTTTCAGACATTCAAGTTTTTATTGAAAAATGGTAATGTCCACTATATTACTTTTTTTCGACAGAAATCAAAAAAAAAATAATAAATTTCACAGTTAATTTAAAAAAGCAAATGAGAGATTGTTTTTAATTTAAATGTCATTAGTATTCTAAATTTTTATTTGTGTATTGAATAGGTAGATAAAACGGCAAAAATTATTTAAAAAAAGTGTAAAACCATTAAATTAAATTTATTTAATAAATATAATATTATGTATTTTTATTTATTTGTTTTATGTAGATTTACAACAAATTCGGGATGACATTCAGTCCAGATTATGGTTTACTTATCGGAAAGGTTTTCTTCAAATTGGTAATACAAATTTCACCTCTGACAGAGGTTGGGGATGTATGTTACGTTGTGGACAGATGGTTATTGGTCAAGCTTTAATTTTTTTACACCTTGGTAAGTAATCTAAGCAATATTTAAATGTAACTTAACATACATTATACACAATATTATAATGTATGGAGAAAAGTGTTTTTTAATTAATGATATTTGATTTCTAAAAATATTTAAATTACCGCAAAATATGTTTTAATGTTTTATTCAGTATTTGATATTTTGATATGTATATTTAAGATATTTTAAAGTTTCTATTGAATAAATTGTTTTGGTTATATTAAAATATTGTAATAAACAGTTATTGCTAAAATTTAAAGTATTTTGTTTTTACACAATATTTATATTTAATTATATTTAATTTAAAATTGATAAGTAACTCATAAAAAGAAAAAGTTAGCTTGCTTTTAGAATAAACATTTCTGAACTGTTTTTTTTTTTTTAATGTATCATACGTTATTGTAAAGTGTCTATAACATTTTTTTAAATTATATTTATATTTATATATTTTCTCAAATAAATTATCAAACATTTAGAATAATTATTTATTAACTATGCCATCAATATAGCGTGATAATAAAGTATATTTTTTTATTGAATGAAAAATATTACAAATTAAGATGAAAATTGAAATGGAAATAAATAAAGAATCACATTAATATATATTATAATAAATATTAATTTATGTTTTTATACAATATAAAAATGTGTAATACCTATATATAAATATAAATATTAAGAAAACAATCTTTTTAGGAAGAGACTGGCGCTGGGACCCAGATAAGAGGGATATAGATTATTTAAAAATTTTAAGAATGTTTGAAGATAAGCGATCTGCACCATATTCAATTCATCAAATAGCTCTTATGGGTGTATCTCATGGTAAGCAAGTTGGTGAATGGTTTGGTCCAAACACAATTGCTCAAGTGTTAAAGTAAGTTTTTTTTTTGTTGACAAAAAAAAATAATTAAATAGTTTCTATATAATACGTATTATTATTATGTAGAAAACTAGCCACTATGGATGAATTGAGCTCTCTTGTTTTTCATGTAGCATTAGATAACACACTAGTCATTAATGAAGTCAGTGAGTATATAATATTGATGATTAAAATCTCATTTACTAGTTGATTATATATATATATATTTAATTACTTAACTGTTTATTATTTTAGAAAAATTATGTACTGTGATGGAACAAACTAACTCTAGTAAACAAATTTGGAAACCTTTGGTACTAGTGATTCCACTACGTTTAGGTATAAGTACAATTAACCCTGCTTATGTTCAAGGTGTTAAGGCAAGTAATATTATGATGTTTTATTGCAATAAAATATTAATACTAAATAAATTGTATTTTTTAATATAAAAATGTTCCATGTATATTTTAGATTTAACCTATAGTTTATTAGCTTATTTAATTTCTTAATTCATTTGATTAGTAAATTTAAATTAAATTAAATTTTGTCGATATATACTAAAATGTATTGTAGTTCTTTGTTAAATTAGTTTAAATAATTTCTAAAATATAAACCTATAATTACATAGTTAAATATTAATTACAATTACAGTACTCCCTTGTTAACACGAACTCGACGGGACCGCTAAACGATCGGTTCATTTTAAAAAAAAATTGTGTAAACCGATACGTTTAACACAAATTTGTTTGTGTTAAACAATTTATACTTACATTAACGAATTCAAGTTATCAAAGTAGTTTAAATCAAATACGCCTATTAAAGTACAATAGTACTTATAATGTACAATAATATAATAGTACAAATTATTACATCATTTTTCGTATAGTTTAATCCAACACTAATATTAATAAAATTAGTTCATACTGTAGTAACAACATAAATTCAGAAACACACTTTCCAATCATTCATATTTATTTTACAATTTTTTATTTTATTTTATTACTTTTATCTATTTAAATTATCAATTACGCGTAAATATTAAATACATACTAAATTGTATTATGCATACAAGAAATATATAAAAATTATTATTGTACATTACATTTAAACTAAAAAAAATAACTAACAAAATCAATTTAAAACTGATCGATAGAAAAATTGATTTGAACCAGATTACCAGATTGCACAAATATGATGTTTATAATATGTAGGTAATAAGAGGGATAAGATAAGGCAACAATAAAACTACTTACATAGCTGTAATAAAGATTAAATGATATACAAATAATAAAATAAAAAAAGAAAAAGGAATTTTTCTATTCGTGCTCATCAAAAAAATGACATTATGGTTTGTAAATTTTGTTCGAGTTTTGTGTTAGCCAAAAAATTTGTGTAAACTGAGTAAATAAAAAAAAAAAAACCTGTCTTTAAGTATATGTATTTTTCTGGACTGAAAAATTGGTTCGTGTTATCCAATTATTTGTGTTAACAAGGGAGTACTGTATATTAAAAATCATTATTAATTTTTTAAATTTTATTACAATAATAAAAATGTTAGTAAAATTAATTTTTTTCTGTAATTTAATTTAATTTTAGTTTGAATATTTTTTTTCTCTTGCTAAATTCTACTTTATTAAAAAAAATATATTAATCTGTTATCCAGATTTGTATTTAAAATAATTTATTCCTAATTTTTCAACCAATCATACCCAGGAATGTATAGTAACTCGGGCTCTAGTTAAAAATTAAAAATAGAAATAGATAAAACTTCAAGTATTGTAAATGTAATTTCTGAAATTTTAACAATTATTTTAATTGTTTCAGATGTGTTTTACTTTCCCACAGTCGTTGGGTGTGATTGGTGGAAGACCAAATCACGCTCTGTATTTCATAGGTTTCGTAGGTATATGAAACATTTTTAATGGATTTATAATTTTGTCAAAGGGCCTGCGCATGACCATTTTTTGCTCAAAACCATACCATGAAAAACGCACATCTCGTAGAATGATCTACAAAGTGTGAGAGAAGTTTTTCTTGTAGCATGTGTTTTGAATATAAAATCATGCTTGTAATTTTTCTGTCTGATTTTTACTGATGATATGTGCGTATGCATGCTCACACAAATCATTATCATTCCTTATTAGTAATACCTACCACACACTAATAATCATTTACGGCAAATACAATACTCCTTAATTATTGATTTTTTTTTTTTGTTGACGATTACCAGTAATATAAATTTCATTTTATTACTGTAAATTAGGCAATGATGTAATATTTTTGGATCCACATACAACACAGCAAATAGGAATGTTGCCGAACAAAGATATAGAAACTGAACATAAAATTGATCATTCATATCACTGCCAACAAATTAACCGATTACCAATCCTCAACATGGACCCATCACTTGCTGCGGTAAGTGGTATTTTACTCTTATTGACATGGTCATGTGTTGTTAAATATGTATTGCCTAAAATTGTTTTAAGTAAATGGAATAACTTCTTTGTCTGCTGTAACTGGGTCTCATTTATTTATTTAAATTTATTACTAATTAATTTATAACTTTTTGATACATTTACTCAAAGCTAATACTAAGTTAGAGAATTAGAAAAAGTAGGTCAATATTGACATTTTATACAACTCAATGAATAACATTGTTATTGCTGTAATATTTGATGAAAAGAAACATAACAGAAGGTATTTGTTATAGAGCTTTAAATTATAATAACTATGGTCTAAATCTTTAGATTTTTTCAAATTATTACTGAGTATAATATGTATTTAAAAGAGTAAAAAATATGGATGATTTGTTTAACATAGAATATATAGGAAAACGTTTTTTATTTGAAAATATTTTAGAAGCAAGGGAATATTTAATCTTAACAGTCTTGGAATATCTTGGAATATTTTGTAAAAATAATGCTCAGTTTTTAATACATTTTCCACAAAATTAAATAATCTAATTCTATGAAAAACTGATCTTACCAAGGATCAATAAAATGTCTTCATAGAATAAAGAAGTTTGAACTCATTCAACACATGTTTATAAATTCAATTGCTTTAAGAGCCTTCAATATACTTATGAGAAAGTTAAGTTTGTCAAGAATACATCACCTATACTGTATTCAAGTTAAGTAGACAACTCAACATCTCAGCTTGTTTGTTGGAGGAATGCTTTAACTACATTACAGTTATACAGATGGTTAAAAATGGATGCTGCTTGACTGCTACCAGATAAAAATTGGTTGTCACTGAGTTGGCTTCTTAACTCAAATAGAATCTATTTGTCTAAAAACTGATTTAAAGAGAATATGAAATGTTTTATAACTTTAGACTGAAGTAATAAAATATGAATAAAGATTAGTCTTGATTATATATTTATATCATATTCAGAAAAATTATAAAATAATTGAATATAAACATTTTTTATTGTCATATTAGGCTGCTGGTTTCAGGATTGATAAATAATAATCATTATTTAAACATTATTATTAATTTATATTTTATATTCTTTATTTTTTGTATAATTTTATCTTAAATTTTAGCATCAATGAAAGCAATTATTTTTTCATTAATTAAGTGCTTTGATAAAAATTTGTTAATTTTAAAATCCTTAAAAAATTCTAATATATTTTAGTTGAATAAAAATATACTAAAAATCAACCCTACCTAAAAATTATAGTACAAATAAATAACAATATATTTATGTGATAACTTTATAATTAATAATTTGTATGCTTACCTTTGGTTCTATTTTATCTAAGATTTTTGAAAAGAAAGATTTTTTTGTGAGGATTTTCAGCAATGTAAAAATATCTGTAATTTTTGTTTTGGTTTATTCTGCTTTATATACGGTATATTTGATTTTTCATTGTATTAAAATAACATTTTCAATATAGTATAGTATAATACACTACTGATAAGTTATTTTCTCATACAAACATTAGAACTACAAACTTAACCATCAAATAATTAGATTTTATTATAATATCTTTGACAATTTTAGTGTTTCATGTGCAAGACTGAAAACGATTTTAATTCACTATGTCATGAGCTAAAAGTACATTTAGTGCAATCTGATCAATCACCATCACAACCGCTTATCACTATATGTGATGATCGACCATCTGACTGGATGTTAGATACCTCTGGAAATCTATCTACATCGTCTGAAAACGTTGCTGTATCATTATCAGGTAGGTGACATCTTCAAAATGCTGTTTGTTTCACAGAACAAGATAAATTATTAAAACTGTAGCACCAACCAACTTAAAAATAATCCATCAAACTAAAAAGTTGAGAGTAAATTGTTTGCATGTATACATGATAAATATTCTGAAATTACGAAAAAGAGATTTTCTTAATACCTAACTGCTATTAAAATGTATATTAAAATACTTATTGTTTTTCTTTTCAGACTTGGAACTAAACGAAAAAAAATTACTAACTGATTCAGATGATGACTTTGAGCTATTATGATATTCATATGAACCAAGAGGATTCTTAATAATTCTAAATAAATGTATTTACACTAACATCAAAAAATGATATGTACCTTCGAAGAGATTATGTTCAGTTCTATTCCTGGTTGGTGCCACAATGAATGATTTAGTTGCCCTTCCAATTAAATATTCTTTTGTAATAATATATTAATAGTTATTATTATATCATTATTTTTATTATTATAATTATTATTAATTTATTATTAGTATCAGTTATGTTTTATTTTATTAAATATTTTGTTGTATAACACTTGAAATAATATAAATTTCTAGAAAATTATCAAACTTGTTGAAAGACCGGTGATGTGCAAATCTTTATTTTAAGATTTTTAAATGATCATTTATTTTGTTATTTAATTTTCATATAATTTATTTAGGAAAATATTATAGCTTAAAAGCCTTAATGTAAAACTAGTCTGTTATGTTTAATTTCTCATATATGTATACTTAATCATAAAAAAAAAAAACGAAACAAATTGTTTTTTTATGTACATTAAATATGTTGAATTTATCATTATTTTGTCCCATTAACCCTATTTTATTATTTATATGTTTATGTGTGGTTAGTATACACAGTCAATCATTGTTTAACTTGGCTCCTGTATAGCAATAAAATATTTGCAATAAAATGCGTTAATAACAATTGTTAAATTGTGTAATACAAATAAATAATTTAATTTGTAAATGTACATGAAAAGAAACCAAATAAAAATAAAAATTTATTTTATTTATTCTTTGTGTATACTTTCATTTATCAAAACCTAGAAGTATTATATTCTGTATACTAGATTTTATGTATAAATAACAACAATAATTTAGGCTTAACGGTTATGTTGGAGATACAGTGTTTTATGTTGGACATTATTGGACGTATACTGGATATAAGTAAAAATGTGTTTCATTAAGCTCCATTAATCCAACATTTCTTTGGTCTGATAACTACTTGATTACCGAGAGTCTACTGCAGTTAGTTCAAACAGTTATCTTATTACTCTAATAGTATTTAATATTTATTAATCATGGTTTTGGTTAAAGATGAATTTTTTTTAGAAAAAAAACTTTATCCATAGCAATTGTAGATTATGATTTAAGAATTTTTTTAGTTCATAACGCTTAATAGATATTTTAACAATATGAATACCCATACCAGATACTCATCAGCATATTGTATAGTAAATTTATCATTTATCATTTAACTAGTACTGATCTACCTTTATAAAAAACCTTTGTATGCTTGTATACATAATTTTATGTATAATATAACCTCAACAGCAAACTTTATGTCCAAAACTAATTTTTAAAGTGTTTCTTTATATGAATTTCTGTACCTAAAAGATATTCAAAAAATATCCATTTATATAATTATATAATATTTTTTTAGTATCTAACGAGAGAAATTTTTATTTTTATCTTTTAAAACAATACAATTAATTTTATTTATTGATAATAAAGACACAGGCTCAATAAGCTTTCGACTTGGGAATTACTTTATTTTTTTGAGTCAATTACTTTGGTAAAAAAAAAACAAAAAATACAAATAGGCAGGTAAAAAAATTATAAGTATATTAAAAAATTAGTACTTATGCAAAAATTATATTCCGTAGTTAAATAATTAATTTTGACACAATAATTCTTTATTGAATAATAATGATATTAAATAACATAAATTCTATTTTATATGATATTAAATTAATTGAATATTGATGTATTTTATGAAAACTTTAAATAAAATAAAGTAAAAATTTATATTGCTCAACTTTTTGACCATCCTTGTAGCCTAAAAAACAGATAATTGTTAAACAAAATTGATCGATTGATGTACCTAAAATATATTTTAAATACTTAGTACCTACTGAGTATTTACCTTTTATTTACGTAAAAAACGGCGTTTGTTACTTTTTGACAAGGGTGGAATTAATAAAGGCGGTCCCATTAGACCAATTTCAGGCATTGGTGGTGGTCCACCTTGAGCCACACCAGACATTGAGGACTGTCCATTTTGACCTATAACTGGCTTTGTTGGTGATTTACATTTACCCATAGTAAGCATTGGTGGCTGTCCATCTTGACTTATACCAGGCATTGGTGGCTGTTCATCTAAAATTTATTGAATGTCTTATTAATGGAGCTATCACTAATATTAAATAAATTAGAAAAAACATACCTCTTATGGTTGGTAGTAAACGAGGCCTTATTGGTGGTCTACCTTGAGTCACACCAGACATTGGTGCCTCTTCATTTTGACTTCCGCCAGACTTTATTACTAATCCACCTATACCCATAGTAGACGTTGGTGGTAGCCCATCTCGACCTATACCACACATTGGTGGCTGCATATCTAAAATATATTATAAAATGTATGGAGTTATAATTAGTAGTAAATAAATTGAGAAAAACATACTTCCTATGGTTGGTGGTAAAGGAGGTATCATAGGGGAGGGAAAGTTTGTTGCTAATAATTGACCATCGTTCATATCCATAAAAGCAGTCGGTGGATTTGACACTGGTAATAAATAAACAGCTATAGTATATCTTGATAAAAAAATATTTATTATTTTATCCATATTTAATATAGTATAAAAATAATTGTATTGTATTATATTGTATGAGCTTTTGCCTTTTAGACAAGCAATTAAAGTGATAAAACTTTTTTTGGTTTTATAAGGTATATGGACATGGAGTAAATTTTGAGAATTTCAAAACTTGTAAGGTATAAATATTAAAAATATTATGTGATTTTTTTTATAGTAATTTTAAAACAAATCATAAATAATAAATATGATACTTCCATCCACTTTATGACTATAAGTAACACTAATGTAGAATAGGTATGAACTATAAATAGTTCAATTAAAACATCTAGGTACCTTCTGGAAAGTTACCATTTTAAATAATTTTGTTAGAAATAAAAATTGTTAAGAAAATTTTTAAATTATCCATGTAATTAAAAAATTTAAATAAACATAACACATAATATAAGTAATAAGTAATCAGTAAGTAACAAATCACTAATAAGTAAGATGTATATGATTATAAATTATACACCTATCTAACAAACTTATTATAAAATAAATAAATAAAATGTTGATCAACCATCAATAGCATGATATGTTGTAGCCATCATTATGATATAATAAGTTATGTGTATTATACAAATGTATAGTTTAAAGATATTACCGGACATCGTAGTTGTTAAAGGCATTCCTTTTTCGGCAAAAAGTTTTGCTCCAGAACCAAATTTACTTGTGACTGGTACTTTAGGAACCTCATTTTCGAGAGGAGGAGGCCCTTCAACAGTTATAGATACTACATTATGCCCCCGTAAAATAATGAAACCAAGCGTACGACTTTCTTCGATTGGTCTAACAGACTCTAGAATCCGAAATTCTTCGCAATCGGCCAAAATCAAATTCATAAATTTATCGAAAGCTGTAAAATATAAACAAAGTCATAATACATATAGGTGTAAGCAAAATTTATTATCAAATGTTTAACTATTTTAATTGCATTTAAATAAAATACCTTTAAGTATGCCGATAAACATTCTTGAATCTTGTAAGATAACACGCACTCTGAAGTTAACGTGCTCCATAATTTTGTTACTCCTTGTTAACGGCTAAAACAAATACAAATTATTTAATAATAACAAAACTTCCAGCATTGAAAATTAAAAATCAATTAAATAGTATACGACAAAAACATTTAAAGTATCTTAGTATTAACTGTCTTAAATAGGTAATCTTCTGAATTTAAAGTTAACTATTTTTACCTATGCTTATTTGGTAGGAAGCAACATCCCGCTATCCTATCACTGTATAGAAGTCAATTATATTCTTCTATACCAGCGGTCGCCAGTCGGTAGTCCGAAGACCATTGGTGGTTCACGCTAAAAATGTTGTCGTTCACAGAAAAATTTGAACATTATTTGTAATGTTGTGTTTATAATCGTAATATACAGAAGTATTGTATAATGTCGTATTAATGTTCAGTTTACGACAAATAAGAATAAACTAGTAATAATATTGTCTTTATTATCTTACGTTATAAAATAAATAGACCTAATATCACTATCGTAATACTTTCTAAAAACAGTAATAATTCGAATCCAATCTTCATTTTAACTTTTTTTATTATTATTATTATTTTTTTTTTTTTTTTGTAATCAATAATAGTAAAACTAATTTAAATAATTTTGTTGTAAACAAAAAAAAATCCTTTTATTGATATTTTGTAAAATATATATTAATATAATTTTTTTTTTAATTTGGTATTTAAGACATGAGTATAAGTGGTCCGTAAAATTTAGAATTATGGATTTAGTGGTCCGTGAAGTCAAAAAGGTTGGCGACCGCTGTTCTATACTATGTAATTATATACTTTATAGCATAGATTCCCAACCAGGGTGCCGCAAACTTTATTTAGGGTTCCGCGAAATTATTTGAAATATATTTTTTAAGAAAAAACGATTTCATGAAAATAATAATTAAAAAAAATAAAATATTTGTATATACTATATATCTACGTCTTTCTACTTTTATTCATACTTATGCACTGCTGAATAAAACCGAAGTACCTAGTCTATAGGCCCTATAGACTACTAAACCTAACCCTATACTATAGGGTGCCTCCGGATTTTTAGAAAATGATTAAGGGTGCCGTGAGTCAAAAAAGGTTGGAAACCTCTGCTTTATAGGTTAGAGAACATTGTTTTTGTTATATTTCTCATCAATAATAGCCCAAAAGTTGTTATGAGGGATGAGTTTAAATGCAAGTCAATAAGATTTATTATATCTTATCTGTTAAAAAATTGCAATAGTTACTATGAATTACATCGAAACTGGAACATACGTAAAGCTTAATATCGTTATCGAAATTAAATGTACAGGTATACTAACCATTATGTTTACTGCAAAAATGATGTCGTATTTTAAGCTATGGAGCAAAACTATTCAAATATCTGCAATTAATTAAAATTATTGAGTGCTGTACGTGATCAGTAGTAAGTATAGTAAGTTTAGGTAGATAAAAGAAACGCTGAATCGAACCGACTCGGCATACAATTTAGTTGAGAATTATAAAATTGCAATGCAAAAAAAAACTTGTTGAGTCACAAAAAGGAAGATAAAGAGCATCGTGGTCATCACGCATTATCAACAGATTCATGGAATTAACCTTCAATAATAGTTAAATATAATATTTTTCAAAATGGTAATACTGTAAATACATTTACTGTCGATGTTCGTTTAATTTTGAATTATATTGATCTACAAAATATGTGTATACTATTATTTTTTTTATTATTTTTTATTTATAAAGAAAAGATACATAATTATTTACAAAAATTGTGTATAAATATAACAGTTGTAAGTACAATATAAATCGATAAAAATGTGTTTACAGTATAAAAAATAATTTGGATGTAAGTATGTTAATATAAAATAAATGTGTACCTATAAAATACAACAAAGTAGTAAGTATTAATAATAATAATAATTTGGTAATATAAAATTAGATTTAATCACATATTTGTTTAATATTATTATTATTATTATTATTATTATAATCAAGTACATTTAAATTAGCAAAATTAAATTAGATAATAAATAATTATATCAGCATATGTACAGGTGCGGGTTGATTTAGTAAAGCGTATGTTCGTATGTTTTGTAAAAAAAAAAACATTACTTCTAATGTTTTTATGATAAATTATTAAAAAATTAAGTTTTTAATAAATGGTTATGTTACATTTCATTATTAAATAGTTTGAATAAAAATTTTAAATTTTAACAGTTTCTATGTCCACATATCAAAAAAACCTAAAATTCCATCATAACCAATAATGAGGCTGTCTTCCAACCATTGAACTATACATATTTTAAAACAATCAAATCGTAAGAAAGCAGTTTGGATAGATTTGAGATTTTTAGTAAGTGTAATAGAATTAGTAGACCAGACGGGGGTGGCATATTCTAATCGGGGTTGAACAAAAGAGAAGTAAATACAAGCGGGTTATTAAATTCTGAGTAACAGCGTTTACGAAATTCTAGTTTTGCTATTCATTTTATTAATATGGTTTGTCAAAGTTTAATTTATATACTCAATTTTAAACGAGAACACACCGTTCTTGTCGTTTATCGTTGTTGGAGGCGGAACCACGCGGCGCCTCTCACACAAAATTAATAATTATTTTTTAATTGATCACCATCTGTAGGCTACTATCGATCTACCGTGCATACAGAGAAATTCAATAATTCAATATTACTGACAACGTACACTGTACAATATTATACATTTATACCTACGCATTTTCTACCGCATCATTCACTTCACTACGTATACAGATAATTAGCGAGACCGATGGCGGCTGAAACCGTCTGGAGCGTGATGAATGTGCGGGATTTTTGATCTGTTTTCGTTTGCCGGTCGATGCGTTCTTGTTTGATATAGAGTGTAGTATAAAAGAAGATTTCTAATGGCTAAATCATTAACTAATGATATACGTCGAGACAACGGCAACAAATTGATAATTGACTTATTCCATATTGCAAGGACCGCATACATCAAACGTGAAAAAGTATAGAAAATTGTATTTATTGTTATATGTAATTACTAATTATTAATTAACAACCGCTATTTAACATGAATAGCTCGTTTAGTATATGATGATTAGCTACCACTTTTTGATGCGAACCATGGTTGTTGTTTATTATCTACAACCGTGACGCGGACTCCTTATCACTTTATCAGTTACTCAGTGATCGAAATCCATGTGCTTAGTCATGACTTACAATTTACTGCAGTTCACACTGATCTGCGAAGTTGTTTGATCATACCAATTGAGTTATTTTAGATTTCAAATTTTTTAAGTCAATGGTTGAAAGCGTGGAACAGAATTGATTTAACATTAATACAACGAGTGCATTTCTTGATTAAAAATGGATAAGTGAGTCGGAATTTAACTTTTGTTATTACTATCATAATACATCTCATTAATTATACTTATAGCTATAAAGTTAGAACAATGACTTTAGTTTTTAATTTATGCCATACACTTAAATACACTTAATCTATAAACAAAAAAACCTAATTAGCTGATAAAATATAAAATATGTATAGCTTAATGCTGTATAGTGATTCCAAGTCTATGTTAAGTTTTACAATATCATGTTAATATTTGCTTATAATAATTGACTTCATACAAACTAAACAACTATAATGTTTTATGATGATCATCTAATGACTGTTTGTATTATACAAAAACTATAAAATCTACTTACATCAAGCATATAATAATAAATTTGTCTTCAACATTTTTGTTTCATTTAAAGTTATTATAGAGGGTACCATCGCTGGATGATTTCCCTTATCATGTGCCTCATGTGTATTTTTATTATGTATATAGGGTTATATCAATTATCCATTTTACTTATTGTATCATGTAAATACAGATGGTAAATTTTCTTAAAAAAAAAAAAAGTTATTATATATTTTTCATTCATATCTGCATGTAGATTAAACAATTTAACATATACCTAGTGAAGGTACATGCTCATAGTAGATACCTATACTATAAACTAGATAATGATAATTATTTCATAACTAGTGGTACCTATAACCCAACTAAGCTTGAAATAAAATGAATAAATATAAAATATGGTGTAATATAGGTATATATCAGTTCATGGACAAATTTACATTAGTGTATTTCACTTAGTAAATTAATTTGACCGAGTTAGATCATTTTTCTATGGTAAATATAGAATTCGATATATTGTCGAATGTGTTGACTTTTTTGATATTTTTATGAACAATATCTGAAACTTACGTCAATATCATTGGAGTAGTTTTTTGAATCTATAAACAACACGTATAGACATCATCATTTGATTTACATATAAATAATATTTGTTTATGTTAACATACTGTAACTTGTAATAGCAAAATAAAATAAAAAGTATGAATATCATTACTAAGGCTTGAATTTGCATGTTTTTTCTGAACAGTTTAAAAATAGCTAGGTAAGCTACAAGTTTTATTTGTAGTCAATAAGTCCGAAATATAAAGTTATATTTTGCATATTTCTGTATTTTATGATTTTTAAATGTATAATATGTAATATTTTGCTTATTTGAATAAAAATAACGAATTTATAGTTATATTTATAGTTCATGTAATTTGATGAAGTCATTTTCTTATCTTATCTGAGACCTATCGAGACAAGTAGTCATATTTTATTGAGTAGGTTTTAGTGAATCATATGTTAATCATGTTTGTTGTCATCTCAGTGCGTGTCACTTTCATTCGATTTTATTTATTTATATTTAATGAAAATAAAAGACTTTTTTTTTGCATATTTTTTATTTTATAAGGTATATTTCTACAAAACAAAAGCATAATTGAATATTTTATAGTGCATATTTCTGAAGTTTTTTGAGTGTACAAATCTGAGCCATAAATTTATTACTATATATTACTTTGTGACTTTAATTTTAATTAATTCTAAATATTTATAAGTACATTAAATAATTGTCATTAGGTTTTTATAGTTTAAAATTTAAAGGGATTGGTTTTTTTTTCAGCGATTTTGTTCATGAAATTTGTATGGTTGATTCATCAAAGCAATTACTAAAGGTTAGTTAATATTTATAATTATTTTAACTTAAAAATATATTTTAATTCAAATTTAAAGTATTATTGAGTAAAAAATTAATCTACTCTTATTTTATGATTGCAGGAAGGCTTTATTAATTTATGCAAAAAATATGGTTCTATTAAAAGTATAAATATTCACAAAACAAATTATGAAAATCAAGCATTTATTCAGTTTGAAGATAATGAGTTAGTAATTTTGCTTTTTATAAATGAAATATGCATTTAGAATTTTTTAGCGTTGCTGTCGTATAATCATCTACAATCATCTTTAGTTCTTAAATTGTATACTTTTGTGATTGCCAGTGTCCATAGTTGATCATTACTACCACGTTACATGACCACTGGCGATCATTTATGAATATGATTTTAAATAATTTATTTTTCTATGGCATTACAATAATGCAGAAAAAAGCCCAGTAGTGTAGTGGAATTATTTATAATTTATTTGATGTAATAAATATATTATTTTTATTTTTTAAATATAATAGTATAGCAAATTAGGAATAACATTAATAAATATAAGTGAGTGTCGATAAACTTTATACTATAACACAGTAAAATGACAGTCAATGTGTTAAAAACATTATAATTATTTTATTTATTACAATTTAACCAAGGCTTAATATGATAACCTAATACAAATATTACTATGAAAGTATTAATCTAATGCCTGTTATAGGCTTTTTTCAATACTTCTATGTTAAAGATACTTCATTTGAAATTATTTGTTAAAATAAATATTAGATCAATGCTTTCTTGATAATACTCATAATAAGGTATAATTTGACTCGGTTAACTCAGTTTTGAAAATTGAAAAGTATGAAATACGGTTTTGCAATATACTCTATTATAGTTAAAAACCATATTTGGTTGCGCACTTATATGTAGAGTAATTATATAGCTTATAACTGTATAAACTAATATATCATATTGTATAGTTATTTTTTAACCTAAATGGAGTATGCAATAATAATTATTATAATATCTTTATTATTTTTATAGTGTTGCAGTCAAACTTTTAAATGAAAAATCATATTTGCCATCCTTCATATCAGTAGATCTTTCCAGTCGAACACAAAAAATGATGAATTTACAAGATGAAAAAGAATTTCAAGAAGATCAAAAAAAATTAGAATTGAATAATAATCCGGAAACAACCAGTAATAATGATGGAATAAATAAAACAGTAGCTGAGTTAGTTTTTAATAATTAATTAGTTTTATGTTACAAAAATAATATTAATTAGTTATTTGTGATTTTCTTTTAATTTATTTTTAATGTATTGATGATAAATACTTCTTCAAGCCAAGTTACCACAACTTGTGTACTTTCTCGGTACACCAATAATCAATGGATGAGTATATAAATGTTTTAACAACTGTATATTCAAACATATTTGCTGCTTTTGAAAACTTACTATTAATATATAACTGTAGAAGTTTTCAATTCGGGTGCATAGTAAACACCTATAAGTGATAAAAGTATTTTGAAAATATTTATCTTATACATGAGTCTTAATAACTCAGGTTTATGAGAAAAGGTTCAGGATGATAATTGATTATTTACTATGAAATTGAATAATCACTGATCATTAGTTATTACTAATTGTCTATTTCTTTCAAATTGAAAACTTTAAAGATGATTTATGTTGCTAAGTGTGCAGTTAAAATCCTCATCATTTTTCTTAAGTTTATTTTAACAAATAATAAATAGTATATGGGTTTATTTATTATAGAATGATATTATTATTTGTTTCATTAACAGAACTTTAGTTTATATTGGACCTGAGATTTCTGGAAGAAGTTTAATGGAGGATTACAAACAATTTAAAACAGAAATCAAATTACCTTATAATCTGGGAAATGATGATCTTTTTGGAAAACCTCTTAGTACAAAATGGGAAAAAATAAAAGAGTATTTATAATATTATCATGAAGTTAATTAACTTTTACAAAATATTACTAATTAAATTGCAGGCCTGAATTTGAAATTAATAAACTTGATTTTTATAATCGTTTTGAAAATTGTATGGGTGGTGAAATTAAAATTGAAAAAAAGTTAAGTCCAAACATGTTTACTGGTTTGACTACAATTTTTAATGATGGTGAAAATGTACAAGATAAATTAAAGACTATTAGCAATGATATTGAATGTTCTGATATTTTAAATGTGTAAGTTTTTGATTTATTTTAAAATGCAAATAGTTAATATTATTATTATATTTTATTGGTAATTAATTATTGAAATAAAATATTTAGAAATAATCTGAAGTATGGAATGTTAGTGGGTGCATTTGATAATGCAACTAATTTGTATGGTCGTGGATATGTGACTTTAGTTGCTGGAAATAGTGTTAATGTCGCTTTGAGTGATTATGGTAGAGTAATCAATACAAAACAAATTAGGGTACTACCTGAAAAATATAATCGGGTGCCTGCCTATTCATTTAAAGTACATACCAAAGGTGACCATGTTCCACAATTAAAAGTAAGATTTCTAGTGCTAATCTTAAGAAATTTTTAAATTTCTTATTTATTTTTCATGTTGTAGAAAACATCTTATACTTTCAAAGTGTGCAGTGTTTGTCCTGAAAGAATTGTGTTGATAATATTTGATGAAAATAAAGAAATTAAAGTGCAATTGAAAAAATGGCAGCCTACTATAGAAGAATCTGGTGTTTCATACATTGATTTTAAGAACAATAGCTCTGTAGAATTACTCAAGTTAAAATATATGAACTCCGTATTTATTAGATCAAAAGAAAAGCATCATTTTGACTTTTTTTTTTCATCTTGGAACAATTTAGCAGCCTATTGCTATAAAAATTGTAATAATTATTTTTATACTTAATTATTTATGTATTTTATGATTCTATTTCATATTAACTATATGGTATATGACATTTTTAAAATATGTTATCCTTTTTTTTTAAAAATATATTCACTAATCAAACAACTTAAATATTTATCTTCATATTCTTAAACATTGCAATAAAATTACTAGTTAATTATTTTGTGTTTTAAAAAAAGTGTTGCTCCATTTTTTTAAAAATTTGAAATATATTTTCTTATTTTGTTCTATTTTTATTTGATACAATTTTTATTAATCGATATTTTATTTAAAACCTATATAAAGTCTTTATATAGAAAAAAACTAAACTTTAAAAATTATTAAATAAAATCTTATTGTATAATCAATCATGCAATTAGTAGAATGGCTATCTTGGATATTTTTTAAGTCTAATATTTCACCAACTCACTCATAACCTAATAAATGCATTTATTTTCACAGTTCTAACTAATAGTTAATACTAAATTATTATTTGTTGACCATTATTCATCTACCCACCATGGTTAGCTCAGAGGTTTTTACATCTCGATTTTCCCTTCATCAAATCATTATATGAGACATCTATGTTATTTTTGTTTTTATTACAAAATGAAAATAAATATATTTATTTTTTATTATCAGTTCAAAGTAACTTAACAAATACACTTTGTAAAGCATATTGTTTTTATTTTAAAATATTAAACAATAATTTTTTTTTTAGCTCAGCCTTTAAATAGAAAACCAGTTTATGGTGAAATTGTAGGTTTTAAATCTACTTTAACCAATAATTATGTCAGAGGTAGAGTTCATCAATTTTTAGAAGACGATATTTATTGTGTGAAGCATATGGATGATCCCTTAAGAGAAAATATCAAATCATCTGAAATGATAGAATTACAGTTTAAACATAAAAGTGTATGTATTTTTCAAACTTAATTAAACTAATATTCATTTGTTCATTTGTGTGTTTATATATATAATATATACCTTAGTAATTATTTAAACAGTAAACACAAATTAAATTAATTCTAAAAAGAAAACGCTCCAGTATAATCTTAAACAAATAATTGAGCTCTGTCTATATTATACATTTTTATAAATTTATTTAATTTATACTAAGATATTGAAATAGATGGCTATTTTGGTGAATATTGAATTAATATTATTTTTATTTTGAATTATAGCAGACTTAATTATAATTTTTTCACAGCACTTGTATTTTCTTTACATTATTGTGAACTATTGTTTCTAAAGAAAATGGAAAAATAAAATATTCATTACTGTACGTACAATTGGACACTATTTTGAAATTTGATTACTTTTTTTTACCCTGTTTGATAATTAAAATTATTTTAATAAGGCTAAATATTATATGTATATTAAATTGAAAATGTGTGCTATAAAAATTTTGTAATTAAGCAATTTTAATATGTGTGATTATTTTCAAGTTATGTTTGTTATAGATACCTGTAAGTGTTTTAAAAGTAGAACTGAATAATGCTTTGCCATATCCTATGCTGTTTGATGCTAAAAATTTTGTTGAACATGTTATTGGTATTCGTCTTTCTGTGGTAAGTTTACACTTAAAATCAAGAAAAATGAACAGTAATTTTAATTACATAAAAACTATTTTATTAGCACTTTGATGATTCGAAAGCAGAAGGATGGAAACATATAGATTTAAATATTAAACCTATAAAAGAAAACTTTAATTCTATTTTATATAGTTTAGCTGAACCTTTGTGGCTGAAAGATAACATTACCATGAATAGTATGTATTCAATTATAATTTAATTTTTTATTTTTAACATAGTAAAATACATGACAAATTTGTCATGGTAAAATATAAAATAATGTATTTATTTTAGGTATGTAAAACATTAGTACTTTTAGTTTTGGATTTATTTAGTATTCAATAATTGTTGTTTGGTTATCGTAGATAGGAAACCTAATGTGTGTAACCTAGTTAAAGTATGAAAAGTAGTTATCTTCTATCTCAATTTGTATTCTTTAGAATTTTTATTGAATGCACATCAATAGTGTTTATGCATTGCATAATAAAAACTAATAATTTTTATTAGGTTTCAAAAATAAAAGTAAAAAATTGTCAATTTTATCATCTATTATTGATTCCTTAAAATAATAAAATTTTAATGAGGCTTAAATTATTTTGAAATTGGTAAAAATTCTATTTTTATATATCATTTTATTTACTAAAATTGTGTTTTTATTTATGTACAATACTCTCTAAGTGATCGGTGTAATTATCATTGTTCAATTATTTTTTGAGTATTAATAAAACTTATCAAATATTTCATTGGTATCTAATTCATTATCTTTTTATTTGTTATTTATCAGTATGATTGGGATTTTAATGACGTAAAAAAGGACCAAAATTGTCTTTTATGACCTAATAGCTGTATAATACTTTTTTAATTTTAAACACAGTAGTTTAACATTAGATTAGATATTAAATTACAAAACTTACAAAATTATTCAAATTAATGAATATTGTTATTTTTAGTATTAATTTTTTTTTTTTCATATATATAGGTTCTTTGGAAAATTTTCCTAAATACATGGATTTATTCAGCATCGAATTGGTTGAAAAATCTGTTGTAAACTTGAAGTTTGTTATGTATCATGATGGAGTATTTTATATGAGAGACAAATTATTTGGAAAATCTTTTTCAGTTTTATCTTATATGATTAGAGAGTATTGTAGCTTGAATATGAGTCCTTATTTACCACATATTAATGAAGTATGCCTAGGCCATTTTCCAGGTATTTATTACTCTAATCTATTCACTTTTTATATGGTTATTTTAAAATATATATAAATATTTTTTTAATTATAGACGGTTTGTGGTACAGAGTAATATGTGATCAAATGAAACCTGGTGAATTGGTTAAAGTACATTCTATAGATTTGGGAAACGTTGCATACTTGAATACTACAAATTTAAAAAGACTTCCAGAAGAATTAATGTTTTGTCCAACTCATGTTTATCTGTGCATTTTAGGTAAATACTGAATTTTTAATATTTAAAATTATAAGCATCATTGGTGGTTTAATTGCAGTTTTTTTTTTTTTAGATCCTTCCATTCAAATAAATGAAAACAATATTGAACTATTACAAAAATATGAAAATACTGATTGTGAATTAACTATTTTAAAAAGTCTAGGTGGTAAAAATCATTACTTATTCAACTGCCCATTCTTCGAAGAGATTCTTCAATGACTTATAGTTACTAGTTTTAACTATAGTTATAATATTTTAATAAAATAGTTTTAAGATAATCAAATTATATGGACAACATATGTAATTAAAATAATGTATAACTATCATAAATTAGATTTAAAAAATTGTATTAATATTTTTATTGCTAGATATTTTATAAAAATTGATAGTGACTTAATTTTTTGTGATCGATAAATTTTAGTGTGAACTAAATACATAAATAAGCAGTTAAAAATTTGTTTTTAAATAACATCTTACATTTATAATTTATCTTGTCAACATTTTGATCATATTATTGATTATTTGACTACTAATTTAAGTTATGATTTGTAAAAGTTTTGTTATTCAATGTAAATTATTAATTTGTCAAATTAAATAATTGCATTTACAACATTTATGAGATTTTTTTTTAATAAATCATTATTGAAAATACATTATATATAATATTTAAATAAAATATAAATAAATCAAGTTATTGATGTTTAAATTTAATTTTCACTTTTATTGTTGGTATTTATAGTTGAATGATTGGAACATTACGTTCACTTGTTATTTATGCTTCTAATAAAAAAATTAATTTAAGGATTAAACTTGTATTAGCTGTAAGTTTTAAACTAGCTTTATAACTTATTAAATATTTAAGATAAGTACCTTCATACTTTTTTATTACAATCACTTTTTATTTGGAAATTTAAATTAAAGGTTTATCAATAATATTAATATTTATTTTATACTTATTAGAGATAAGCTTTAATTATATCGAATTTGATCAAATCCTCAATTTTTTTTTTTTTTTTTATTCATAAATAATAATAACTATAATTGTATCATTGTAGTAAATAGGTTATACTGTAGACACAGTTATTAAATAAAACTTTGATTGCTCAAAATAAATTTATTTCCAATTTTCAAGCTTAAATATTAGGTATTAACTACTATAATAAATTTGATAAGTAAAAAAAAAAAAAAAAATGGTCTTACTTCTTTCGATAATGTTTTTATTTATGTAGGTAGTCTATAAAATATATAAACATGAAATGTACTCAGATCTCATACTATTTTGCTATCCCATAAAATAAATACAAGACAGCTAGAGTGTTATGTTGTGTATACTAACTACTAATTATTAAGCATCATACTTGAACGAGAAAAATAATTATATGCTAATTAAATCTAATTATTTATTATAAAAGAAAAGTATATAAATTGAGTACTCAATCAGGAAATGAAAAAATGAACTAATTGAGTTCACACCAGAAAAAAGTTAAGTATTCCTAATCGTCTTAAGCGATGCTTGGTTTATTTTAAATTTTAAGAGATACCTATAGATTATATCATGATTGCGATCTTCTTCTGTTATTGTACGAGTACACCAGTACCTACATGGCACAATTCTTCGATTTTCAAAAATTAATAATTATCCATACGTATTGGTATAATATTGAGTATACATATATATATATATATATATATGTATATAATGAAAGTCGGGCACATAAAACGTGACTACTCCTCATCAAACTTTTCTTCTAGTAAAGTTATAAAATTCTAATATTTCTGTGGACTATGCAATCACTAATCAGTTATCACCAGTAACCATTAAAGATAATATTTAAGACTATAATAAACAATATGATTAGTGAACAAAAAAAAATAATAGTGCGTAATACATAATATTTTGAGGTCTATGTAGGTATTTATAGACCTAAAAATTAAAGGTTCAACATTTCTAACTTAAGTACCTATAATATATTCGCACCAGGTGTTTAATAAGTTTCGAAACTCTAAGTAGTCTTAACTACTGTATGCGCATATTTTAATGAATTTAATGCCTACACAGTACACGGATCCTTTTAATTTGAAAATTGTATGATGTAATTTGAAAATGTAGCACGGGCCAGATAAATAATAAATGACTCGCGGGCCGCCAGTTGCCCATTTGCTAGCTGTGCATTTACGATTTAAAATATTTAATGACTTCAGAGTCACACTATTAGCCTTATAACGGTTTCCACGCTTATTATTTATTGAACATTGAACAGTGAACACTCTGTATGACAATATTGTACGTAAGTATTCTTGTTTAGTTCCAATTAAACCCAACATAATTTGTCGCAAAACAATTAAACTACGAAATTTAATCGTAGATAATTAATGATCGTTGGACCAACGGGCTAGACGTTCAAACGCTTCGTACGTTTTGGTTTTCGGATTTTCCGACTTCGGGACGCCGGTCGCTGTGCAATAAGTGTAGTTACAAACATTATCAAAGACTGTTGTCCTATACTAGAAACGCAGTCGCACCGAATCATGGAACAAAATAATAATACGACGCTGTTAACTTCCACTGGCGATTAGGCGTCTAGTGTCTACCAATAGGCAATAACGTTATTCATCATCAACGATTTTTACTTAATAATTACGAATACGCCGAACACCGAACAACGACGTCGTCTTCGATTTACATCGTTCTTTTTTACTACCGGTGCCGGGCATTGTGATATTACGTTTAGTCGGTGTAGACCGTGTACAGTGTAAATTCTGAAATTTTGTTTGTTTCATTGTCAACGAGAACTTTGTCGGTTTGTGACGTCGAATTGACCTGCTCGCAGTATTCGTATCGAAGTCTTCAACAACCGTATACGTAAGTATAAGCACCGCCTGCGTGCTTCACTGTTTGATCGCAGATGGTATATATTACTATATCAGCGTCTCTAGCGTGTGATAACTTATTAGAGGTATAAGTATCGTTTGTTGTTGTTATAAGATATTTTGTATAGGAAAGATTGTGTGTGTGTGTGTGTACGTGACTAACTTAGGTGTAAAGGAGCAGTGGTATATTTAAGGCTGTGTTTGGAGGGGATTTACGCAAAAACGATTTTCACTACTTAAAAGTTAGTCATGGGAATAATGATTTTAGTATAATTGATTTATTTTGTTGTTGAATCCTTTTCTTTCTCAGTACCCGTATATTACTGACTACTTTATACTTAACAGCTATTGGTTTTATAAGTGTATTCATTGGTATAGTGTATACCAGGGGCGGCCAAACAGTCGATCGCAAACGATTTTAAAGTCGATCGTGCTAGAATTTATTTTTAGGTTGCGCTCACAAAAATTAATTATGGTGGTATAGTAACTTAATAATAATAAAAACTTTTTTATCAAAGTCGATCCTCAAAGGTGAAGTATATTTTTAGTAGATCGCAGCCGAAAAAAGTTTGACCGTCCCTGGTGTATACGAATAATAGTTAATACAATTAGGTAACACTCAGTTGAAGCGTATTTATTCTTATTTACTTAATATTGTTTTTGTATTTAAAAATAATTTATACCTACCTTAATTTGAACCGAGAATCTATCCAATTATGTTATTATTCAAATTATTTTTAAAATAATAGAATTGATTCAATTATTCAAATAATTGAATGATTTGATTATTACCAATACTATTAAAAATGTATGCTACAAATTTAGTAATATTCACTTGGAAATGATATGCCAAACATATTTTTCAATGTTTTCCAAATTTGTGTACACTAAATATTTAAAAAAATTGAAAAAAAAATATTATAGGTACCTAAAAAATTGTAATAATTCCTGCTACGCCACGGTCATTATTTCGGTGCATTATTGTAGCGCCATAAAAAAGTTAATAATATAAAACTAAATTAATTTATGGTCACCGGCTGTCATGTGCCGTGGTAGTAATGATGAACTATGCCCCCCCCCAGTGGTCACAAATATAAAAAAATTGCGAATTACTGATGACCACCGGCGGTTAACGTGTTAATTTAATAAATTATTTATTTTCATTAGTAGGGCACAAGTTTTTATATAATAAAAAAGTTGAAGTATGTAAATATTTATATTCTTATTTTTGCTAAAATATGTATTAAAAAACACAAAGTATTTAATGAAACAAATTTAGTTTATTAATTTATTACATACTGTTTTTCTTAAATTGTATTAATTAATTCATTGACAATAGTTTATTCTTAGAAACAATTGGATACAACATATATTTGGAGATTTTCAATTTTAAATATACAGTGATTAGGTTTCAAAATTGATTTTTAGAGTATTTAATGCCGATCTAGGATAATGAGACATATTTCTTACTTGATTTATCAGATGGTGATAATTCAATAGTCATTGATGTTTTTCATTTTTAGCTAGTACATAATTTAATTATTTTTTTTATATAATTAGTCCAGATTCTCTTTGAATTTTATTTAATTTGTTTGCTGAATTTTCCACTATCTAAAGACTTTAAATAATTGTTAGATTTGAAGTTTCTAATTTTTTTTATTACTTTGGCCAAAAAACCAAAATAAATATGGAAAAATATGTAAAATAAAAAAGTGCTATTTTATTCAGGGTGTTATGAAATGTACTTAAGATCAGAATTAAGTTTGATTAAAAATAAGGACGTTTCATAACACCCTTTAATAAAAATATTTATTTACATTAAGATCTGCTCCCTATTCATTAGTAATATTCACATTAAGTACCTAGATGTATTCTTTATTAAAATAAAATGTTTAAAAGAATAAAAATGAAAATTTTAATACAACAATTTTGATGATATAGAGTTATATATTATTAATAGATGCTTTGTAATCTTACCTTAATACTTAATTATTTATACTCATAGTTTCAGTTTTTTTTATTAGAACAACTTTTTTCTTTTGATTCAATAACACAAATTTTAATTTTTTTTTTTTAAACTTATTAATTTATCTAAAAAAAAACACAAAATTATACAAAGATTAATAAATGTGGAATCATGAATAATAATATAATATATATATATATTAATATATTAAGAGGACGCTATACAGACATACCAAATTTACGTTCAATAGATTAGGTTTAGCTTTGTTAGTTTAAAAATTATAGTGAATTGACCTATAATGAAACTTGATGGTAAGAACATTTTCTGTGTTTGAATGTGATCTTTTATGATAATTCAATTTTTTTAAGTGAGTTATGAGCATTTTTAATTTACTTTATTTTACATATGCAAAACTTGCTAAAAAATTGAATTATCGTAAAAAACCCACATACAAACACAGAAAATGTCCTTACCATCAAGTTTCATTATAGGTCTATTCACTCTAATTTTTAAACTAACAAAGCTAAACCTAATCTGCTGACTGTAGCACTTGTAAGATAAGTGAGAAAAACAAATGTTTGTGTAGTGTCCTCTTAATATCATTCATCAAGATAAACAAAAATTACAGCAATACACCATAGACAGGTTATGACTTAGATTTTCTATGGCTTCCCACATTCATAATAATTTTTTATTTGTATGAAATTATTAATATACTATATATTTTGTTCAAAAATAATGATATAACAAATGTATGAACATTTGAGCTCAAATCAACAATTTTCAATTGGCTTATCTGTTTCTGATGTATCTCTGACTTCTATAAAGATCAAAAGTAATATTTGATTTAAATATTTGATACTTGCCTTCAAATGTATTAAATTAAATAAGGTGTACCTTAGTCTGTATTTTGTGTAATGAGTGACAGAGTAGATTGCTCTTTGGTCTGTTAATAATATCTCTATAAATCCCATTAGTTATTTTTTTTTTAATGGTCATTTTTTCCTTGAATAATAACTAATAAATATAAGGATACATAAAAATAACTCTCTGACAATACATATCTACTAATATACTACAATACAGACTGTAATAATATCTTATTATAACACATTTTTTTTATTTTATCTATTTTGTTTATTGTAATTAAATAATAATTTTTTTCTACTTTTTAGTAAAGATTACAATATTAAATTATTAATTTTAAGCAATTATTAAAATTTTTCAAGACATTGCTGAGGTTTTTTCATGAAATAGTACTTAAGAATATTTTTAAATACCTTAACAAAAAAATATTATTAATTTAATTTACTTAATACCATATTTTATAATACAAATACAATATTATAACATACATTATGTATTTAATAAATAAATTATAAATTATAATTTACTAAGATTAAATTAAATTAACAACAGTTATAAAATAATCATTACATTAAGTTATATAAAAAAAAATTTAATTTGTTCTTTTTACACTTTATTGAAACAGATATTTTATAATAATAATGACAAGTAAATAATTTTAAGTTTAATAATAAATTTATTTTCATGTTTAAGATTATTAATAATTGTACTTAAAGGTTTGTTACACCATAGGTAATTAGAATTTTCAACTTTACTTTTCCTTAATGTTTTTTTTGTTTATTTTCATTGCACTTTTTTTTTTTGAAATGATTATTTGATATCAATAACTTGATTGTACTTTCAATTTCATTTTTCTCTTGTATTTGTGTAGTGAGCATATGAATATTAGGATGTAATTGTGTTTAACTTTTAGTTTTACGTTCAGACATGAAAAATATGATATTATCTAGTCTAATTCTATTAACATTGAATTTTAATACATTATACACAAACTATGTATCTATATAAATAATTAAAAATTAAAAATATATTTAAAAAAAAGTAATAATAATAAATATGTTCTTACATTTGGAACATTAATTTTTTATTTCAGCCTATATTCTCTAAGAGTATTTGAACATTTATAAAACACCATTATTATAAACACAAATATGCACTATACAACATAGATTTTAGTGATACCTATAAATTAAATCAAGTTTTCATTACTGTGCTAGTTAAAAGTATATTAATCATCCTAATAGATCCATTGCATCGCACAATAAGGTTTGTTTTAATATGAAGTAACACAATAACAATCTGAATGACAGTATTATTAAATACTTTGCTATGTAAAATTTTCATAATATATTTTTATTATATTTATGATAAGTGTTACCTAATTACTGTATGATTTTATTTTTCAAGTAAAATAACTAAACTTATACTAAATATAATAAAATATATTATTTTTACATATTTTAAATTTGAATAACAATACCTATTATTAATCTGTCCATCAACTTTAAATGTGATGAGTGCAATCAGTATACAAAAAAATGATTTTAAGCACTATCATTAAAATATCAACATTTATAAAAATATATATTTCTATAAAATATTTTTCAAACATTTTATGCTGTGATAAGTTCTATAACCATTTACTTAATGTGCTGTTGATCATAATATTCATAACTAATTCAAATACAGTCCACACTATAAGCAGTAATTAAAGTTAGAAAAAAGGGACATAACATAATTTAACTAATAAAAAATGTAAATAAAAAAGATAGAAGAATGCTATTAATAGTGAAAATGAATATGTTTAAGAATTAAATGTATATTTATTTAGTATAATACTTGATAAATATGTAGATTTTAAAATTATAATACTATTTTCACAGAATTTCACTTATTAAATCCAATACAAATTGAAAAAAATTTAAAAAAACCAAATAGCATGTATAAAGTAAAATCATGCTCTTTTAAAATGTAAATGAAAAGTGAAATTAAAGTTTCTTCTTGATCATAATATTATGTTGATAATAATTGTGATTCTTCCAATGCTATTATAAATTTACAGCTATTAGTTAAGTTGTATAAATAACTTTCATATTTCACAAACCTTAGGTCAATATGTAAAATATCAAAATAGTAACAAAATTATGGGTATTGTTCAGCAAGTATCAATATTATGTATAAAAATTGAATTAAAAGTTAAAATATACTATTAAGGTCAATAAAGTTCAATGAAAGTGAAACAGCACACTTTTTATTAGATAAAGTTACAAGAAATGAATAGCGTCCAAAAATTCATAACAGTGTTTTATTTGGTCAGATTTTAGATGGAATTTTTTATTATAGAATATCATATACCTATTTAGAAACAATCCATTTATTAAGTAAAAATAATTTGTACACATTGAAGCATCTTGTTATCTAAATAATTAAACTGTACACTATTCTAATGTATGACAAGTTGTAAGGTAAATTGATGAAAATTATGTATTTATGTAAAACTAAAAGAAGACTTTCTTAATTATTTCACTAATCATAAATCAAAGCTTGAAAAATTTGGAAACAATGTTATTTGTATTGACGAGGTACATATAATGAACGTGTATCATTTCAATTTATAATTATTTTGATTTTTGATGACTTGAGTAAAGGATTCTCATACTTGTTCATAACAAGTAATTAAATTGATAAAATGGTATTAAGAATATTTATTATAAAATAAGAGAGTCACTCGTTTTCTTCAACCAAATATTTTCATGTCAGATATAACTAAAAGTTTTTATAATGCATGGGTGGTTGTTGGTTGAAATTAAAAATATGTAATATACATAGAGTTTATTGTACATGGCACGTTGATTGATCTGGAGGGGAAATGAATATAAAATAACATTTAAATCAAAGTGTAAGAAATGTATCCAATTTTAATAACTTTACTCCAAGAAAAATACTGACGTGTTTGGCAAAGTATTTGAGAAAGCAAATTTCTAGCAGTTTGTTGTAATTTCTTAATGAAATCTGAAGTGTCTCAATAAAAGAGGAGACATTTTTTATTTAATTTTGAATATAACTTTTTCAATTTTAATACAATATAGCAACTATTCCACTTTAATTATTGCAAATCTAACTTGTTTTTATTTTGATATTTGTTTATAGATTATACAATGTAATATGGAAATCAATCTGATTTTAAGCTTGCCGATAAATAACAATAATTCTTAAGTAAGTATTCTTATTATAAGTAATTTAATTGTACATTTTAATTATAATGATTTGTATGTATCATTAATTAATGGTGATTCATTTTTATGTTTTAGGCTGATATTAAATATTTTAAATAACCAAAATATTCGAAAACTCAAATTTGACAATGTATACCTTATCAAAACTAGCATATTTTGAATGTAATGAATTGCAAAAACATTGGTATAATACTACACCAAATAATGTAATTAAAATTGATATCCATCATTGTTGCGAACATTTAATTTTATATATGAAAGGAGAAAAAAAAATTAGACCTCAGTTAGATACTCTCATATGTAACGCTGCTTCAGATGCTGGACATTTAGATTGTATAAAATTGGCTCGCAGATTAGGGTTTTCTTGGGACAAATATGTTTGCATGAATGCTGCTGAAAATGGTGATTTAGATTGTCTAAAATATGCCCATGAAAATGGTTGTCCATGGAATAGAAGCGTTTGTTACACCGCCGCAAGATATGGTAATTTGGATTGTTTAAAATATGCTCATGAGAACAAGTGTCCTTGGGACAAATATACATCCAATTGGGCCGCAAATTGTGGTAAACTTGATTGTTTGGAATACGCATTTAAAAATGAATGTCCTTGGGATGAAAGAACATGCATGTTGGCTGCTCATAACGGATATATTGATTGTTTAAAATTTGCCCATGAAAATGGGTGTCGATGGGATTCAGAAACGTGCAAATGGGCTGCAGATAGTGGACAACTGCAGTGTTTGATATATGCTCGTAGTCATGGTTGTCCGTGGTCTATTGATACATGTACCATGGCTGCAGCGAAAGGCAATCTGGAATGCTTAAAATATGCTCATGAAAACGGGTGTGAATGGGATAAAAAAACATGCACTATGGCTGCCACTAATGGACATTTAGATGTTTTGATGTATGCCCATGAAAATGGATGTCCGTGGGATGAATGTACAACTTTTTGTGCTGCAGAAAGTGGACATTTAGATTGTTTAATTTATGCTTTTACTCACGGATGTGGATGTGATTATAAAACGGCCAGTGCTGCCAGTAGAAATGGGCATTTGGATTGTTTAAAATATCTACGTGAAAATAAATGTACTTGGGATTCATTTTCAACCTATGGACCTGCAAAAAATGGACATATGAATTGTCTCCAATATGCCCACGAAAACGGATGTGAATGGCATGAAGATACATGCTATATCGCTGCAGTGAATGGACATTTTGAATGCTTAAGATACGCTCGAAAAAATGGTTGTCCATGGGATCTTAAAACACGTCAATGGGCTATCAATCATGGAGAGTTTGAGGACTGTTTATAATGTATTTATGGAAAACAGATGAATGATTTATATACAGGATGATATTCATTTTATTTTACTACTAAATATTTTAAATTTCTTTTGTAGCTACATGACTACTGTTTTCAATTTTTCGATATCTGTTCAGGAACAGTTCTTAAATGTAATTAATACTATAAAAATAATGTTGAATTATTTAAGTTTAAAATGGTTTTTTTTTTTTTGCTATTATTATTTATTTATTCAGATTATATAAATCAATAAAATTCTACTTAATTTAAAATACAAACAAGAGTGTAAGATAATTTATTAAAATGTATATAATAAATAGGGCTCGGAAGTTGATGCATTTTGCATTTTTTTGGTGTTTATTACTTTTTAAGTAATTTTTCCACATTTTTAGTCATTTTTACTAATTTCACACTTTATATTTGGAAGTTTTTCCAAATATAAATATTTATTAACAGATAATCGTCGTTCATTTACTTTCGATAACATAAAATACACTCTAATTGTACAATGCAATGATTTTGATTTTTAAATAATTTGTAAGCTTTGATGAATTTATAAAACAATTATTTGTAATTTTTTAGGACATTTTTATGTCATATTTGCATATTTTTTTTAGGTCATTTTTTATTGTTTTTAAGATCATCAACTTCCGAGCTCTAATATTAAGCAAATTGTTAATTTAAAATATATTAAGCATTTGTTTTTCTGTAAGAATAAGAGAAAAAAAGTCTTGAAAAACACCACCCGTTTTTAAGAGTAACAAATTAAATGTACAGTATTATTTATTTAAGGAAGGTGTATTAAAATAACTCAAGCAATTTTAAATTCTCATTTTTGATTAACATTTATTACATTTTTTTTTTATATATTATATAGTTTTATCAAATTTGTAATTGACAATAAATAGAAATTATATATTTCTACTTGATAAAAAATTTTCCAAGTTATCTTTAATATTATTAATAAATAATAAATTAATAGTAATAGGTTTTAATTTTTAAACTGGATACATAATAATATTAAAATAGTATATCATATTACTTATTTTAGTGTTAATAAGACATAATACATGCATGTGTTGTCTTTGTTTTACAATTCCTTAAAAAACAGTAAATGTATCATGTTCTGAAGAATGCATTAAAATCTTTTTTACTTAATATTAAAATTATTGTACCTATTATAAAACTTATAATAGATTATTATTTAGTAAACAATTAGTCTTGTAAGATATTTTTTTTACTTTTATTTTTAAGAAAACTGAACAGTATAAAATTCATTATTGTTTATGAATTCTAAAATGTTCACAGTGTGCTTACTATTAAGAAAGTTAAGTTATAATTATATACTAACCTATAATCTCAATATTTTATTTTGAAGAACTGGAACCTATAGAATTATTTAATTTTAATCTTATAAATTGTTCTAATCTACATTATAATTGATCTATAATTTTCTATTGTAACAAATATTTATCATCGATTCTAATTTAAAATATTGTAAAATACTGACTTTCATACAGTTTATGTTCTTGTCTTAGAAATTAGTAGCTGACTTTAATATTAGAGATAACCACACAAAATTGTGTCTACTGAATACAAATTTGGTTTGTGATAAGTTTCTTTGGTAATAACTGTAAAATGTTGTCATAACTTGTATGGTGTATCAATAAAAAATTAATATTAAATGAGAAATACGAGATGATTTTGCTGTTAGTAATGTTAAAAACTTAGCTATATAGTAAGTTAAATTTTAAGTATCTATTTTAAATTAAATTTTAATGTAATTTATTGTAGGTACTTAAATGATGGCCTGGTATCAATATTCAAGAGCAAGTGATAAAACTATTTTGATTGTGTATGTTGACATAAATGTTGTTAAGTAATCAAAATATATATTTAACAATATTTTACCTATCATATACATATGTATACTCGTATATAAACGAGACTGTTCGAGTGACCGATTCATAATCATTCAGAACCGAACCTATTAGAGCTATCGATTTGAAATTTTGAGGGTAGATTATTATTGTTATTTTACCGTGCACTATAAGGAAGGATTAAAAAAAAATTTATTTTAAGGGATTAAAATCGGCAAAAAACAAAATTTTAGGTGTAAATTTTATACTTATATACATGTATGAGTAAGCGTTTTTAAGCCTTGAGTCTTTAGCTCATATTTTTAGGCTTTTTTTCACTTGGGCAATTTTATGTGACATGCTCCAGTGTCAATACCTACGCCTATAAATTTAGTTACTTTGGCATCAAATGAAAATATATTGTAATATGTAGTTTATAGAGAAGTTTTATAATGAAGCTGTTGTCATAAATTATCATTTTGTATCATACACTTATAAAAATTTCGTGAGCAAAGCTGCGACAGGTAACCTGCTAGTATTATATAATACACATTTGGTATTTAAAATTAATTATTACATTTTTATTTATGTAGGTATTGCTTATTATATTTTGTCCTTGATTTGATGTTATTTCTTCCTTTGATGTGAATTTATAACTTTCATTTTTAAACAGCTTCATGGTAATATGTAGGGCTCTGATTATAAAGTGTAATAAATGACAAAAAAAGCACAACATTATTTTAAAAAAGTAATAAAAAAAGCTTATTATTTTAAAAAAAGCGTAACCAAAAATTAATTTAAATAAAATAAAATTAGATAATTAGTAAGTATTTTACTAGATTTTCAGTTGTGAAAATGACTATTGTCCGATAGAATGTTTTTATACGTAGAAAACGAATGCTCTACATTCACTAAAGTGATTGGTGCATAAGTACTTTTTGGAAATTTTAGTCAATGTATTTTCATAGCATGAATTGAAATATCTATTATTTAACATCGACTCGTCAGAAATAGTTTTTTTGCAATACTTTGTTAAAAATTCGAAAAAATATTTATTATTTAATTATTACCTACCTATTCATTGGAATATTTGCAGCTATTAATTTTAACATCAATCGGCATTAAGATCTGACTTACTACTAAATTGTTGATAAAATGATAGAAGTACCTACCTACCTAATGTAGACTTTTCATTTTCGTGTTTTAACAGCTTGCACATGTTTATCTTTCCGCTTTTGTACATATATTTTTTCTTGCTTACTGACTATGGATTCTGGCATATTCCAGTGTATGGCAACAAATCCTGCTGGGAATATCAATCATCTGTAATTTTAAATGTTTTGGATAAAGGTACTTAATTTAATAGTATTTTTATTTGTTTGCAGATCAATAATGCTTGAATTTAATGAATTAGATATGTACTTATTATAATATTATTTTATTATAATTAACATGCTTAATATAATATACCTACAATAGAACCAACAAATGTATTATTATGGAACTATATTTTTTATTAAAAGTTAATTAACTAATTTTTATTATTTTTTTTTTTTTGTTTTACGTATGTTTATATGTTTTTTGTATGAATTATACATTTTTTAGAAGATGGAATTTAAAATTAAAAAATTAATCATTTTTGAATAATGATACCTAATGTAAAATCTAACTTAAAATAACGGTTTTTAAATTCATTATAACATACACAACAATTACATTTCCATAATAGTTTTATAGATATAAGTTGGTAATGATTTTGTCATTTCATTCTCTGTAGCTGAAAAATCCAAGAATTTAAAAAACAATCCATTATATCGGTTTAATCAATTTAAACCTAATGACGAGATATATACTGTTAAAAATAGCCTATCTTCGGAGTCGTTTACAGTTTTAACATTTAATAGGGAACACACTATCTCAAATGATCTTACTAATTTCAAAGATTAGTTTTCTCTTGATAATTATAGTTTTATTTATTTTTTATTCTAAAGTTTAGTCGTTAATATTTAGTTTTTAAATATTTTTAGGTGATATCCCTTACACTGTTGCAGCTGAAAAACTCAAGGAATTAAAAAACAATTTACCATCATTCCCTAAAGCATTAGATGCAAGGGTTGTATCAACTAAGTTAGCAGCTTTCTTATTTTGAATTAATTTACTTAAACCTAATGGTGAGTTATTAATTAATATAATATTTAAGCTGAAAATAAATCTCTTTTGTGACTTGGTAACGTCAATAGGTACCAACTCATCGAATCTGTTTTTTCTAATATATTCTTAGTAAAAATATACTATATAGAGTATATTTTTTCAGCTTGAGGACACACAATATTTATATTTTACATTCTAGATAAGATTCTATGCACGTTAACGTCGTGAACAGTTGACGCAGCAAAGGTCTTGTTTTCGTTTTCCAATATACTTGTATTACTGTATTAGGAATGTTTTGTATGGATAATATCATATTATTATTATTATTATTATTATTCAGGAAGATTGATAGTTTCCGATTAATCACTTTTCATGGTGTATCATCGCGCATTTGACGTCTTTTGTCCTTTTCAACCGCGCGCTGAGTCAAATAACCTTCCTATTATTCAATTTTCAATCATCAATCGCCGTTGTATGGAACGTCCGCCGTGTTGGGCGTGCAGAAAACGCGACCATTATAGGAGTTAAGAACAGCTGTCAGATATGTAATATTTATATTACCTATTACTTAACTGCGCGCGGTTATGACGACTCGTATCCATAACCATTGGTTGACATTCGTATATATTGTACAAATGTACAATGTTATTACCTCCTTGTCTTACCTATTGCTATACCTACACTACCACCGTAATTGTATCCATAGTGAGTTTTTTTTTCATATGTATTCTTCAGTCTATTCTTAATTTTACATAACATTTTTTATACGATGTACACTTGTTCAAGTCAAACTCAAGTTTTTTACGTGTTACAGTGCTCGAAATGGACCGGAACGCACCGGAACGCAGTTCCGGTTCACGACAAAAAAATTTTTAGCGTTCCGGTTCGTAAAAAAAATACGTTGGGTGAAGCCCCCAATTCTATGGTATGTACCTATTCCAAAAAAAAGCGTTCCGGTTCAGAAAATTTTCCATTTCGAGCACTGACGTGTTACAGTGTGTTCGAATAAACTGATTTTTTTAAATCTTAAATTTCGTTTTACCGTCGATTGTGAGTACACAGATGGCGCATGCTATTACGTCTATACGTCGTTTCATTGTAAGTAGGTAGGCAAATACTTACTTGTTACAATTAAATGATTTTATTCCTTTAAATGTAATTATTTGTGCTGTTATACTAAATTGA